CCCCCTAACCCCTAAAAGGCCTCAGAAAAGTGGATTGAAGCAACTCCTTGTTGCTCAGTCTTAATGTTGGTTGCTATGATGGCATGCCCATGTTTCAACCTTGCCACCTAAACAACCAGTCACCCACCCATAGGCCTGAGGCTCTAAGATCATGTTGGCAAGGGGGACCAGGTGGGATGGCAAGGAAACACAGGTGTCATCAGCAATGGCCCATACGTGGGGATTGTCGTAGTACGTGTCAGTGTCAGTGTCCTTGTATGTGTCATCGTAAGAGGCCTTGTATGAGGCCTTGTATAAGATCTTTGAGCAGCCCTGAGGGCACTTCTTGACCAAGATGACATCAAGCTAACAGTGGTCCAAGGCCCCCAGATCTTTGGAGCAACACTATACTTCCACAATGTCACCCAGGAGCACTGTCTTGGGCACAGTCCGAAGATCTTCCGCACCTTGCAGTGCTGGGGAGCTCACCATGCTTGTGATGATCTGACTGACAATGACCACCGAGTACCAACTACACATGTCAACCACGTGGCATCCGCCATGTGATACCCATGCATCCTGACCACAGGATGCTCCACAGTTCATTGCAGTGTTGGTATTGATTGCTTATGTTGGTACCACCTGCATCACATTGTCACACATACAGTGACGTCTAGCATGTCTTCCCCTAACTCTTGATACTTGTCGTATTCTCACCCTGTCATAGTAGCATGTCTATCACAGTTATCGACTGCAAGTCATCGGTGTGGTGGAGCTTCATCCAGTGTTCAGACACCTTTGTGCTCAACCACTCCCCAGCCTCCGCCTTTCCATACGGCACAGGGCCTGACACGTGCGTCGTCAGCCGCCGTCTCCATCGTCCATCATGTCATCCATCCCGTCGGCCCACCCAACGACTAGTCCTCCCTCGAGACCTCTTGTAGACGCGCACCCGCCCGACTCCCTCCACGATGTCCCGCCCACCTCTACCATCCACTCCTTCCTCGCCACGCACCACCTCCCACCCTATGTGGACAACGGCGACGGGGGTGCCGGGGGTGCGACGCGCGACATGACGTTCTCCACCTGGGCGTCGCTCTTCCTTCATCGCCGCCGCGGAGCAGGCCCTCAACCTCCCTCCCCCCAACCCGTCATCATCCGTCTGGATCCCCCCGAGCGATTTGCCTTCCTGCGCGACCACCTCGAGAGTATGCTTGACCCCAGCCCACCCGACCCTGACGTCTTGGGTGTCTCCGCGGCCCTTCCTCATAACATCCGCGCGTTCCCAGTCACCGACGAGGTCAATGACCAGCACCCTCTCCTCCGGTCGACTCTCCTCGCCCTCAGTCACGACGTGGTCCAGCTACACCACAACCTGGGCTGGGCGATAGAGAGCGTATGGACTCGTGAAGAATTCGTGAGCCCGAACACCTGGGTTTATGACGACGAGCTGGCATCTCTGCGCCGCCTCCTTGTCGCCAACGGCATTCCTGTAACCGCGTACAAGCCGTCGTCGACCAAGTCAGGCTCCCAAAAGGGTGCGCCCAAGCAGGCGAGCAGCGACAACGCGCCAGTCTCTCCTCCAACCCTCAACCAAGTTGCCCGCAAACGACCACGCTCGGGTCGTACGCCAACTGGGGAGAAACGGCCGCGCGACGACCGAACTGTCCTCATCGCATCTCCATCAGCCACGTCATCTCGACCTTTCACTGTCCCGACTCTCTCCTCAGTCGTCAACGCTCTATCATCCTCGTCGCAGCCCGACGACGGCGACTCTCAGACCGTTCTGGACGATGACGAGAACAAAGGCGTTCTCACCAGCCTCCTCCCCCAAACCCTCCATGGCGGGTGGACAGACTTCGCGTCCACATATAGCAACTCCACTGGCTGGCTCTTAGCGGTCAAAAGGCGCGGCGCGATCCCAGAATCTGAGCTCGACAAGTTCTTCCTCCACCTCTGCCGGCCGACCGCCAGCGCCTCCATGGCTGCGGTCGCACCGGAGACTGGCGTGTTCGACCGAACCAAGCTCAAGATTGCGTACACAAGCTCACCATACGGATGCCAATGGTCTCCAAAGCTGATGTCCCTCTTTGCGCAAGTGAGTGGCGCCCTGACTCGGCTGACGTTCCGCAGCTGTACCAGCAGATGGTCATGAATCGTGTACCCCGTGTGGCGTTGTGTACGTGGGACCGCATCTACCTGTTCCGCCTCGACGCGGATTGCAACATGCTCGTCTCGCCGCCAGTGCTCCGTGACCCAGACGCGCAGAGGCAGTATCATCGGCGCCGCCTGCCTACACTAGACTTCACGCCTGTGCAGGTACTCACCGCGCTCCTGCTCAACACAGTCTACCTGACTGAAAAAGAGAACCCAGAGATCCCTTCTTCCACCGGGCGTTCCAGCGATGCGTCAGTGCTTTACGCCGGCCCCGAGCATTTTTCCGCAGCGGCGCGCTCCACCACCGAGACGCTTGACGTCCTGGCCGATTCTAGCCGTCGCAACGTGAGAAATTCGGAGGATGCACCTCGCGACGATCAGCCTCCGCCTACGCCGGACATGGACCGGGACGACCCAGACACGAGCTTGGACTCGATCCCTGAACAGCATTGGGTGAGTCATCGGCGCTGCTGTATCCCGCTGACGTGCAGCTGGACATTGAGTGGGGTGATTACATGGACTACGAAGCAAAGAACAAGCGCACTGTCCATCACCTTGACCGCGTCGTCTCTGGCGAGCCACTGCCACCCTCCGCCGCCTCCACGCTCAGCCTCACCCCGTCGCACCAAGTTGGCGCGGGCCGGTGTGGGCCCACATTCCGCGTCCCCATCAGTCCCGCGCTCATCGTCAAAGTCTTCGACTGCTCCGCCCGCAATCCGCACCCACAGCGATACTCTGCACCTGAGATGCGCGCGGCAGCACTCCACGAGGCGCAGCTGTACAACGGCCGCCTTTCCGGCCTGCAAGGCGTAGTGGTCCCGGTCTTCTACGGGCTGTGGGAAGACGAGGGTGCTGGCATCCTGATTGCTCTCTTCTCGGACGCGGGCATGGCGCTAGGCGGTGATCTAGCCGAGCCGGCGCCGTTACTTGCTGCACATGCGTGAGTGTGTGCTTGCGGCTGGAACTGACTCGCAGGAAGGCGATCTGTGAGGCGTATGCCGCCCTCCATGGGCAGGGCGTCGTGCACGTTGATGTTGCGCCGCGGCACATCTGCCGGCGAGGGGAGCGGCTTATGCTCGTCGACTTTGAGGGCGCTATGGCCGGCCCGGGGGGCGAGGACTTGCAGGAGGAGGAGCGGGCGGTTGCGGATATGGTAGGGCGCGCAGCGGCTGCTGCAGCGCTCATTCCATGATTCCTGCCGTGATAGATAAGGGCACGTTTGAGAGGAGCGTGTACCACACGTTGTATGTAGCCACGCACCGTCTGTATATATGAGCAGTACATCTCGAGCAGGTATCGTCTAGCACTCTAGGAGGCATCAGGCACAGCAGCCTGGGGGAGACACATGTCGATACACCCGTCCACCCACTGCCGCTCGAGCATGGCCCACATGTCAAAGTGCTGGTCGTCGGCGAGGATCACGTCGGAGAAGCATGTAAAGCACAGTGTCGGAGCGGGTGGACTTGCATCCACCTCGGCGGCGGAAGAGCCTGGCCGCGTTGCAATACAGTACAGGTCGGGAATGCCGTTGGCGGGACAAGGCACCGGCATGCTGGATGGCGTTAATGAGCTCCGGTAAGGCCTCGCTGCAACAGTCAGTATCATCAAGTGGTGCAGACTCACAGATACTGTCCGACGGCGGCAGGCTCGTTGTCAACGATCTGGCCAACATTGTCGTCGCCAAGGTCCTCAGTGAGCAGCACGTCGATGAAGCGCGGCAGCGGCGCATAGCCTGGCGCGGGGGCGACGAACGCCTCGCCCCGCCACAGCCCATAGAAATTTACGACGCGGCTGCCCTGCAGCGCTTCCAGGTGCTGGAAGACCTTGGCCTGATGGTGCAGGATGGAAGCGCCGTCGGGGCCGTAATGAGGCGCGGTGACGCGAGCGATGAGCGTGCACGAGTGCGTCTCGGTGCGCAGAGCAGCGCGGCATGTGTCGATCAGTGGGTCCGAGTCCAGGAACTGCGTGATGGACAGAGTCCACGCGGCGGGCGGTTGCTCGGGCGCGCGCAGGGAAGATGACGTGCTGGTCTGCTGGGTGCCCGCACAAGTCTTGGAGGGAGGCACTCACAGGGCGTGGCTGGCGGCGCGTGTTGGGGCGCCTCGCGCCGCTTGCCCCGGCGATGGCGCGCTGGCGTTCCGTCTCTTCCAGAGCTGTCGGGGAGAGGCACCAGATTCTCACGTAGCGCGCGGGCAGCGCAAAGGAGCGCGTGCGAGGGGACGACGTGCCGGCCAAAACGGGGAGAAGCACTGTCGTACACAAATTCTGAGGAAACGACGTGATCTTGTAGCCGCAATTCCGATTCTCGCCTCACAGCGCATATCTGGGATGTAATCTCTTCCTTCTTTCGCCAGACAGTGGCTAGATTCGACATCGACGTGGGGTTTCCAAGCTCGAGGTGCTGGCGATGATCTTGATATGAAGGAGTGTGTGTCCACATTAGAAGTGCGTTACGGAATCGTACGTCACCTGCTTATCATCAATTCCAGTTGTACAGCTCCCCGGGCGTGTCGTGTACCGGCCTCGAGCAATGGTACGGTATCTGGGCCAGCGATGTGTGGTGTCTTGCGGGTGAGATGATTGTACAAGAACAGGGCATGCAGGCAGACGGTTGTGCCGAGGAATCGATGAGCGCTGCGCGTCTGAGAAGTCAGCAGCAACACCACGGCGAAGCATGCTTGCCCAAGACCCAGTGTACCAGTGTAGCATGCAGCTTCTATCATCTATCCCAATCTTTCCGCGACAGTCACAGCGAGGACGGTCACGTCGTCGATTTTACCGCCGATGAAGTCGCGGCGGTTCTTTTTGGCCTCGATCTCGAACGGCGTCTTCCACGCGCCACCCTTGCTCAGGTCCTCCTCGCCCGAGAAGCACATGCCGTACCGTGACGCGGCAACAAGCACGTCGGCCAGCAGGCGGGCGTGCGCGGCACGCTTCTCCTCGACGCTCAGGTCCGCGTTCGCCTCGAGCTCGAGCGTCTGCAACACCGCGGCGTTCAACAATGGGATCCGCTCCGCGGGTAGGTTGTCGCTCATTCCGTCCGTGTATAACAACACGACGTCTCCGGGCTCTAGGTCGAACTCGAACTTGTCGGCCTGTGCCGGCGTGTCGGTAATGAGGTCGGGCGATCGCATCGAGGGTGGAGTTTTCGACAGTTGGTACTGAAGTGAGCTGGGATCGGACAAGTCGGGGAGCAACGTGCAGGCAGGCTCGTTGACGCAATGTCGAACTCACAGGACAGTTGAAGAAGTGGGTCTGCGCCAGAGACTCAAACACTGGCTTGCCATTACGCAGAATTGTCAAGCCCGAGTCGCCAAGGCTGGTGTCAGATGCGCACGACGCGTCGCCCACTGGCCACCAGCCTCCCACTCACTTGATAGCCTGCCCCTTGCCCGTCTCGCCCATGCTTACGCCCACGGCGGTCGCGCTCCCAGCCTTGACGTTGTCGTCAGCCTCAACCGCCGCATATGCCCGATTCAGCGCCTCCCATGGCGCCATGCTTGGCGAGGCTGTCAACGCCTGCGCGTAGTGAAACATGAGCGCCTGCGAGTAGAGCGAGGGGTCGAACTGAGGTGCCCAGCCGCCCACACCGTCGGACGCAGCGATGTGTGTCTAGGGTGAGCTCAAGCGTGACGAGCAAGCGGGCAGCGGAAAACAAGAAGACATGGCGGACAGAGTTGAGGTGCGGGGTGAGCGTGTGATGCACTGCCTCTGTCTCTCCAAAGGGAGGGACGCGCCGATGCGTCCAAGTCCGGTGAAGGATCAGCAGAACCGCTGCAGGTCCGCACACGCCTTCTAGAAAAGTCAGAAGTGTGTGGAGATGCAGAGGTGTTTAGAGCTTCCGCTCTACACTGATTCATCCGCGCTTGGACGACGGTTCCCTCACAGATCTGCAGAAAGCGACCTTGCCTCGCTCACAGAGTGCAGCAACGCTCCATAGCCCCAGACTTCCATTGTGTCGGCGCCTACGTCCGCGCCGGCGCTCCACTGTCCACAGGCTCCACTCACGAAGGTGTCCGTAGAGACGACGGCGAAAAAGTCTTCGCCTGCCCCCCACTTGTTGACAGCCATCTGGAGATCAAGCTCGCGCTTGCCGGCCTCGTGCTCGTCCTTAGTAGGCTCCAGCTCGCCGCGACCAGCAGGCAACGCCTTCATCGTGTCGACCCACTTGCCGAGCTTAGACGGCTGGCCCGAGAAGCCGGCGGACGCGGGGTGCGCGTTGTGCGGTACGAAAGGGGGGGAGTGCTTGGCCGCATAGCTAATACCGAGGTTGTACACCAGCGGAGGGGGCGCTCGCGAGGATACGGGTCGCGCAAGGTCGAGTATCGCGCGAGTTGCGCGCATGGTCGAGTGAGCAAGAGGCAATGAGCGAGTGGGTGAGTGATGCTTTGTTGACAAATGCGACGTCGAAAACGGAGGGAGGGGTCGGGCTCGCCCGGCCAGATGGCCAGATCAGCGGAGGCATCTCTGTTGCTGACGTGTGATGCCCACTGTTCCTGCCAATGCCAAGATATGCATGCATGTGGAGCGTGCTGAGCTGACAGCTCCGCTTCCCGACTCAACGCCAATGTGCTAGTTCTACATTCTGAGATGCCATCGAGCGCCTCATGGAACTCCATCCAACGCCACTGGTGCCTGAATACTACTCCTGGGGTGAACGAAGCATTTCCAGAAGCGTAGAGTGTGCGATCTTTGCGTCGGCCGTCCCTTTGCTCATCTTCATGACCTCGCCGACGAGCCGCATGACGACCTTTTCGTTGCCCTTGCGCACCTTGTCAGCCTCCTTGGGCAACTTGGTGATCACTTGTTGACAGAGGTCGGAGAGGGCGGCAGGGGACTCAGATGGGAAGAGGCCGAGCTCCAGCAGCAGCCCCTCGAGGGTTTGCCCCGAGGAGCCCTCCGCCACGACATGCTTCAGCACGTTGCGGCCGGTTGTACCGTTGATCCTTCCTCCTTCAACAGCAACGACAATGTCTCGCAGAAGGGCAGCAGGCACAACACTGGGAGACCACGGCTTGTCCGCCTTCGTCAACTGCCCGAGCAGCTCATGAACAATCCTGAAATTAGCTTAGGCAGTTCTCCGTGAGACCACTCACCAGTTCGACACCTTCTTACCCAGCTGCTTGTCGCCGCCGGCTACCTCCTCGAAAAAGGCGACGCCTGCACCCGAGTACTCGTCAAGATGTACCAATGTCTCGACATCTCGCCTGTCGAGGCCGTACGTCTCAGACAACCGCGAAACTGTGCTCCACGGCATCTCTGGCAATTGTTCTTTCAACTGACGGATGTAGCCCTGGGGTTGTCAGCAGTCGTACACCTACACGGCTTACTTGCTCCAGTGCTAATGCTGGCAAGTTGGAGTCGGGCATGTAGCGGTAGTCCTCTGCCTCTTCCTTGCTCCTCAAACTGTACGTCTCGCCAGTGAGTTCGTTCAACCCGCGCGTCTCCTGTTTAAGGGGAACACCAGGATTTTCTTCGTAGTGTGCAATGTGCCGGCGACGTTCAGCTTCTGTACCATTAGCTGGTGTGGAGATCTGAGGCTCACCAATAGCTTGCTGGAGGAATCGGACCGAGTTGATGTTCTTGATCTCACACCTCGTGCCGAAAGCCTCGCCGGGCCTTCGTACCGACACGTTGACGTCGACGCGCATGTTCCCCTATCGTAAGAGAGTTGCAAGAGAGGCTCGAAAGGACTCTAAGTACTCACCTTCTCCATGTCACCGTCTCCCGAGCCTACGCGACGCAACAAGCCCTGCAGCCTTCTGACGAATGCGCCGGCTTCCTCGGCGGATCTGGTGTCAGCTGGAGCAAGACATTAGTCGCGCACCTCATGTGCGGCTTCGTGACAATCTCCATCAGCCCCGTCCCAGCGCGATTCAAGTCAACGAGCACCTCCCCGCCGACTGTCTGGCTCTTGGCCGTGTCCTGCAATCAGCGAGTTTTCAAAGGTGTCGTCCTTACCTGCTCAATCTGCAGCTGTATAATCCCGACGTCGAATGCGCGATGCACCCCACCCTCGCCGGCCTGAAAGCGTACTACTCCATCACGGGCAATTGGGTCTGGGTTCAGCTAACAGCACGCCTGGGTACTCACTGTAGTGCTGCGTAATCTGATAGCTCGGTGGGATGTCATGGTAGAAGTAATGTTTGCGATCGAATGTGGAGCGCGCGTTCTGCAGTCAGCTTCGCCTGGATTGTATCGCACAATCTTGCACTCCAGCGCCATGGCAGTAAGGAGCGACAGCCTGACAGCCTCGGGATCGATTACCTGCCGTCAGCACCATCCTTCCTCGCTCCGCACCGGAAGAGTGCCGGGGAACGCGGCGTCGAAGAGCGCGACGTTCGTGTTCGGGTCCTCGTCATGGCTTAGCGGGGCGCCTAACGTCAGCTGTCATCACCAAATTTTGCCTACGAGAGAACAGTTTGCGCCCAGTACGCAGCTGGGCGTGGATCTCCAGGCCAACGACAAGCTCCCATCCATCCACAGGCGTGGGCGTAGCCTGTGTGCTCGCTGGCCGGCGAGCTGCGAAGCGGGAGGGACCAGCGACAGTGCCATGAAGAGCATACGTGCGCGACCACGCGCGCGCAGTAAACGTAGCCATTAGATCTGAGTCCCAAGCGCGATTGTTGTTCAAGTGAGCGACGCCCAAGTCGAGTGCGTAGGGCAACCTCCACTTCGTCGTCCTCCGTTTTCCAGGTGGCATTCCTTTCCTCCCTCCACGTGGCCGTCTCGTATCAACGCATCACTCGCCGCGTCGAGGTGCTGTGCACTCATCCGCCACCCCACAACATTCGCTCCTCTCCACACACAACCACCATGTCAAACCACGGCAACACGCTCGACGCGAACCCGTTCAACGACCCCAATCCCTTCCAGCACGGCAACGAGAGCGCGTACTCGCTCGACGGCGTGGGCGGGGCGTCGTCATCGCAGCCCCGCGGCGGTGTCGAGAACATCCAGGCGTATGTGGCAGACCACGACCGGCGCGCGCAGGAGCTCGAGGCTAAGCAGCGCGAGCTGGAGCGGCGCGAGGCCGAGCTCGCACAGCGAGAGGCGGACGTCGCGCAGTACAAGCCCAACTGGCCCCCGTTCGTGCCCATCCTCGTGCACGACATCAAGCTCGTGCCGCAGGAGCAGCAGAAGAACGCCCGCCTTATGTACTTTTACTGGCTTGCGCTGCTCGTGACCCTCATCGTAAACTTTGTTGGGTGCATCCCCCTCGGCATGTGAGTGACTTTACGTAGGAAACAGCTCACGCTAGCTCGTCAATCGGCGCCGGCGCGGGATACCTCCTCTTCATCTCGATTCTCAGCTTCATCCTCTGGTACTACCCGATCTACACCGGCTGGCGGCGGCTGCACAAGCGCGGTGCCGCGATTCTTTTCTGTAAGTGGCGGTGACGGCGGTGACGGTCGGACATGGCATGGCCCCATCATCGGGGCGCCTGTGTCTGTGCGGCACCGCTGGCCCTGGCTTTCGGTTCGGTCCGGCCAGCTAACCCCCAGACACCTACTTCATTTTCGGCGGCTTCCACCTCCTTTTCGCACTGTACATGTGCATCGGCGCGCCGTACACGGGCTCGGCTGGCCTGTTCAACACAATTACTAGCTTGATCAGCGGCGATCTCTTTGCGGGCATCGTCGGCATCTTCGCTAGCGTCGGCTGGATTGTCCAGCTCATCGGCGGCGTCGTCCTCTACAAGCTCGTCTGGAACTACAAGAACCACAGCACCGAGATCAACTGGGCCAGCGCCAAGAGCGAGTTTGCCGGCCTCAAGACCATCTTCAAGCTGTTCCGTGCGAGCAACTAAGCGGCCAGGCTACGTCCCGTGCAGCTTTAAAGCGCGAGATGGCGTCAGCAGAGCGCAGTAGCAACGTGTAACGAAAGGGCCGAGTGGTATTAATCCTACTACTCCTCGGTAAACGTCCACCCAAGCCCCCAGCCTAGAATCCCAGCATCCACTGTATCGCTCGAGGCCTGTGTACGAATGCAATGCAGATATAGTTTTGGCCGTGGCTGTGTGGTGCGCAGCGCAGATGTGCGACGAGGTGTCCCGTGGGCTGCATCTCTAGGTTTGGGTGCAGCCCAAAATACGCAAGGGCAAGCCGAATCCTACCCATTATCCAGTCCCACGTCAAACGTCAATGGCATGCATTACGCCGTTCGCATTAAAGCTAATGGTCATCATCGGGTCATTATCTGCCGGCCCGCTCTGTCTAAAGTTATGGGTATCAGCAAGTCCGATGTTTTACTGAATGTGGCGTCTTCCTACCGCAGACCACCGTCGTCGTATGGCGGGGCGGGTGAGCGGCGATCTTCCATTGAGCTTCTCGGGCTTGGGCTGGACGGCACCCCAGGCACTTGCGTCGGGGCCTGTGTCGGGGGCTGGGGCAGGCGTCGGGCGCCCGTCGGCGTTGTCGGCGTGTCAAAGTCCACCCCCGAGTGCCGGGGCTTGGCGGCGCGTCTGAATGCGGCGGCGCTCATGACCCCCGCCGCAGACTGCGGCACCTGAACTGTGAACGGCGTACTTTGGGCGGGAATGTTGACGACGCTCGCCTCGTTCACGTCCCCGATGCTACCATTACTGGTACGAGCGTACGTGTCGCGGACACTGAATGCCCCCGGCGGCATGCTATCGCGGGTCATGAAACTCGGCGCAAACGAGTCGCGCGGGTCGCGTGGGTACTGGCTCGTGTAAGACTCGCGGACACTGGCAGGGTGGTCGTGTCTATCGAGATCGGAGGGCGCGGGCGGTGGCACGGAAGGGATGTACTGTGCCAATGGGCGCTGCTGCACAGGGGCAGAGCGCTCGCCCACCTCCGCCGGCTCGTCCGAGTAGTCGTACTTGGACGGCGGGGAGGCAGAGGGCAGCTTGGCGGCGTATGCCAGTGCTGGGCTCGTGTCCTCGTCTGGGTGGGCGATACCGTCATAAGCGCTTGGTGCGGAGAGGTGCGGCGGGGGTGGAGACGAGGCGTTGAGGGGCGGTGGGCTTGAGAGAGGCGTCGAGAACTCGCCGTCCTCGGACTGGCGCATTCCTGGAGGTGGTGGCAAAGCTGTCTCGGCGGAGTAGTAGCCAGAGTTATTCGACCCAGGCCTATTGTCGCGGTTCTCCTCGCCAGTCGAGAGGAATTCGGAGCTGAACGGCTCATGGCCGATCGCTGGGAGCGTGTACCCAGGTCCGTCGTGCAACTGATACTTTGGCCCGTCGTGCAGCTGGTACTTTGGCCCTTCGTGCTGCAACGATCCGCGCTTGTTCTCCGAAGAGTTGGTCTTGAGGGGCTGCCACGCGGGCTGAGCGTGTGCCAACTCGGTGCCGTGGTCGCTCCCGGCGTCCACCTCGTCAAGCGTTCTTGCGTTCTCCCGCGGCGTCATGATATCAGAGGAAGGGACCGCGGAGGGCGCGGCCTGCTCCCTCGCCCGGGCAGCATCCATCTCCTTCTGCTGCTGCCACTCATAGTCGTGCGTCTCGAGCTCGGGCGAGTCACCACCCTTCCACAAGACAGTGCCCTGGGGCGTGGGGGCGTTCGAGCCCGCGGTGTTCGAGCCCACATTGGAGATTGGGCGCGTCGCCCCAAACTCGCTGTATGTGCTTCTAGTGTCGTACGACGTCTCGCCAATGGCGGGAAGCTGCGGAGGCATCGACTCGCGCAGGCCACTCGCCTTGCGCTCCCGCTCGGCTGGGTAGTCGCCGTACGCCTCATGGTCCGCCACAGTGTGCAGCGTATTGGGTCGCGGCCCAGAGTCATGCCGCCCGAATGTGGGCGCGCGCAGCGAACCAGAGTCCGACATTACCGGTAGCCCGGGCGGCTTGGGCGCAGCCGACGCAGCATGGAACTGCACAGTTGCAAGCTGTTGTCAGTTTCGTTGGATTGTGAGAACCTACGCATTTGATCGCCTCCTTTGTTGTGCTCTCGGTTCTCTCGTACCCGTTGTACGGGGCGCGGTCATAGCCCGGAGGGGTCTCCTCCAGAGGGATCTCCTCAAGAAGGAGCTTGCCAAGCTCGCCGATAATGCACATCTTCTCGCCCAGCTCCTCGAGGCCACCGAACTTGTACGACATGGCCTCCTTGACAGTCCTGGGGATTAGAGCGATCACACACACAGTTAGACTCACTGTCGCTTGAAGTCGCCAAGCTTGGTCTCCTCATGCACAATGTCGGCGTCCATCTGACGCATCTCCTGGCGGAGTCTCTCGAGGAGATCAGTCTGAGCGGGGAGCTGCTTATTCTCGGGCCCCATTTTGGCGAGCTTGCGCTCAGCCGCCTCGGCCTTGGTGCCTGTAGTGCGGCGTCTGCGGCGCATCTCGTCGAGTGCTTCCTCGCGCGCGCGGACCTTCTTGAAGCACACGCGCATGCTCGCTTCGTGGCTGGCGAACGCACGGAACGCAGCCGACAGCTGGTTCAGCAGAGTGGAAGAGTGGCTCAGCACGTCTTGCAGATCCGGACCCTCGGCCTGGCCGTACAGAGGCAGCTTGGTGGCCGCGGTACCCGTCTCAGTGGCGAGCCTGTCGCATGTCACCATCATGGCCTTCTCGGACGTGATAACGCTAGAGTCAGTTCGAAGCGCACGCTCTCACTTACTCCTGCAGCGCCCGAAGGTCCTGGTTGCCCAAAGATGGGAGCAGACTCGTGTGAGCTATGCTCTTGCCGAGCTTGCGCCCGATACCATCAAATGCGGACGGGCCGCCGCCGCCCGCACCGCCCGCACCGCCCAAGCCCATGCCACCACCTGTGCTTCCACTCATCATGGACTCGGGTGCTCGGGGTGAGGATGGTTCAGACTCGCCGCTAGTCAATGTCTGGGGAGGGCCAGAGTTGTAGGTGCTAGAGGAGACGCGGGACTGAGCCGGTGCGGAGTCGTGGTGTTGATTGTGCTTGCTGCGCCCGAAGGTGGGCAAGCTGAACTTGCCTGACGCGTTGCGGAGCGTCATCCCGGGAGAGTGGACGTTGTTGAGGGAGAGCGAGAGAGCGACGAGGAGATTGAGGAGAGGAGAGGATGAGAAATGTAACGTCGACGCGCTTGTACAAGCAGGCCGAGGATCCGAGGAAGGGTGCCTCGTCCTCCTCCATTGCTGTGAAAGGGTCCGCAGCAGGGAAATGCGCCACGCGACAATCCTCTCAGAAGTGACGTAACCCCGTCCTGCGCTTTCCTTTTTTCCGCAGCAATCGCTCTCGACGCTCCTTCATCCGCTTCATCCTCCTCACGATCCTCACGCCATTGTGTCTTATAGCTGCTGCTCACTGTCTTCTCTACATCTCTCTCTCTACTCTCCACGAACGCAGGCCGACCCGTGTCTCACATCACATCTTTATTCAGCCAAGCTTCCAGCTGGCGGCACGGGATCTGGCGGGAGAAGAAGCCCTTACACGTGTCAGCATGGGGGTCGCCGACTACGGCTGATCCTCATCTTGCAGCCCGCTAGGCCGCGAAGCCAGTGGTCAGCGATGCTTTCGGCCTCTTATCGGCCGCCGTACCGCCGTGCCATGGTGCCAAGAGGCCACCAGGCCACGCGCCCATCCGTGTTTTCTAATGTTCTTTACCGAGGATCGAGTTCGTACTGATCAGGGCGGTCAGTGTGGCGAGTGGCGCCGGGGCGCGGGGCAGTGCAGCAAATGTTGATGCGTGTTCTCTACGACGTTTTCATCCATGCACTCACACCAGCATCTCAGTCCATCTGCCGTTCAGTCGTCGTACTCCGGCGGCTCAAGCGACCGCAGGCCACGCAATAATAACCCCAACATTTCATCACCTCCGCTCCGCCGCTCTCAGTTTCCGTCGGTTCCGCAGCCATGCCACATGACCAACACTGCCCCACCTGGAGAGTCGAGTGGAGTACATAATGACCTGGCGCCACGCAAGCCAAAATGAAGGACATCACACTGCACGCCTCGAACCCCGACGACCCCCCGTCGTACGAGGACGCCATCAACAGCCTGCCGGTGGCAGCTGCGCCCGCTCCCGCGCCCCCGCCGGCGTCCGGGTCCCCCTCTAGCGTTAGCGTGGCGCCAGCCATGACGGTCACTACGCACATCGCGGCCGCCGCGGCCGGTGTGCGAGCAGATCTTGTGTGTGTTGCCGCCGGAGTGCGGCGCGAGCTGGTAGGCACTGCGGTCGGGGTCCGCCACGAACTTGGCGAGATCGCGCGCGGCCTTGGTTGCGTGTATAGCGAGGCGCACAAGGGTTGGATCGAGGCGCGAAGCCTCTTGAGGCCCGAGCCGCGGCGCTCGGGTTGTGCCCGCCAAACACGACCGCTCACCGGATGCAAGCGGGAGAAGGACTTGCCTTGACGGGCGTTCTCTATACACTCTTCTTGACGGAGCCTCCTATACATGCGTCGTCTGTAACATCAACTTGAACATGAACTTCTAATCGACGCCCCGAGCGGGCACTCTCGCGGCCAACTCTACATAATGGAGCACGACGAGCGGTCGCCACTGCCACCCTCTTCGTGCATGCCGATGTACTGCACCTTGACGCTGCCGTTGTGGGTCGATGCGTATGCGCGGTCTGGGCCCTTGTCGCTGAGGTCGGTTTCGGTGGGACTGACCTCCTGGAAGCGTGCGTACTCCTCCTCATGCCGCTTGTACTCTTGCTCCTGCTTATCGAGACTCTTGCCGCTAGGCCCGCTGCAGCCGCGGGGTCCGCTAGGGCCACTAGGCCTGCGTGGGCCACCGCCAGATGCCGGACGCACGCGATACGTAATGCTCTTCTCGTCGCCCTCGCTGGGCCAGATGACACCGGCCATGCCCTCAACGCGCTTGCGCCCGTTGATGACGCGCACAGTCACGAGCCCGTCAAAGTCCTCGGGGAGGTTTAGCGTCACGGACCCGTTGCTGCTCTTGGCGGTCACGTCGATGGCGGCGCTGTCGCGGTGCACTGTGAGGTCGACGCGCCCGTTGGTGGTGATAACGTCGACGACGGCGGGGCGGAACAACGTTCCCTGTAGAAAGAGCGTGACGGCGACCGCGCCGTTCGTGCTGCTTATCTTGACGTCCGGCCCGGCCTTGTTCGACATGAGCCGCACCGCGTAGGTGCCCTTGATCGAGGCGTTGGTGTCGGCGAGCGTGCTGAACGAGTTAGAGGCGAGGCGAGAGCATTGAGCGACTCACAGAGGTGCGACCGCGCGGTGCGCCGACGACGGCGGCGACGGCGGACGCGCGGGCAATGCTGGTGCTTCGCTCTCCTCGTATGTCGGTGGAAGCTCTTCGTTGTGGCGGGTCATGGTGGTTGTGGTGAGGTTGAGATGTGAACAATGGCGGAATGCGCCTTGTGCTGGGAACCTCTGATGCTTTTGGGATCTGCCAAGTGCGGGCCGCACCGCTTCCACCATTGTGCGTCCGCGCGCCCACGCAGCCCCTCGGCTCCGCGGCATGGCGACATGTCTGTGCCGTGGTCTTCCGGGATGATGCCTTGAACACAATGGATCGCACACGCACTACGCGTAGAGGGCAGGATGTTGTAAGAGGTTGGGTGGCAACTTGTTTGCGTGTCTTCCAGGCACGCGGCTTTGCGCATCAGCACCACCCCTCCTTCCAGTTCCAGTTACTCGCGGTGTCGCGGATAACGCAGGTGTAATCATAGATTGAGACCTCCAAGCCGCTCTCAAAAGCCAAAATGCCTAACATTGTCGTTCGACGTCTACGGCCGCATGCAACGCACATCGCCTTAATCCGCATTTGTGACATTGCTCTACAGCGACGCATGAATGGTGCGTTAACTGGTCGGCCTGTCGTTACCCATGGTTCTACTCAATACTCAGCCGGCACTGGGAAATCAAGATGCTGCCACCCGATACCTCCCATAGCTTTCCAGCTTCCTAACGGACGGAACAACAGCATAACTGCCATGTGAAGACGGAGAGTCGCCCTCCCCTCCGTCAGCTAAGTGGCATGGAACTTGCACCAGCGACCAGCACGCGAACAGAGATGGAAACGCTCCATTTGTCCAACCAGCGGTTGCTCCGCTAGTGAGCGGCCGAGTGGGAACCACAAAGTCCACAAAGGCCACATCGTTGCCGATGGCCGTAAATATGATCGAGTGATGAGGCGCCCAAGCGGCGGTCCGGCGCCGCCATGGTTACACCCATGTCCGCCATTCCGCACATGCGCCGCCAACCACCTCTCCACGCATCTTGCAGGGCTCTCCTCTGCCCATGATGGCGAGTGCAACTCGTCAATTGTCGAGAATCCCAAAGCGCTCGGACCCGTGTAGCGGGAGCAGATGCTTCTCTGCACTAGCCACTCGCCACAACCGCAGATGGGAGTCAGCTGTCAGTCGCGTTGGCAAGTGGCAAGAAGTCTCAGTGGCAACGGCTGGCGTTGTTGGACAGTCCAGTTGTTGTTCATAACCGCTCATCACGCCCTACCCTCCTCCTCTCAACGAGCCCCAGCTCGTGCCGTTCGTTATTCAAGCATGGTCAGTTCAGATCCTGCCGCGACTTCCGAACTCCTGAACACAGTCCTGCCGCTCGCACCGTTCACGCTACTTACGCCAGGCCTTCTATCCCACCTACCCCCACAGCTACTACCCTCCTCAGGCCATCGCCCCCGTCCTCGCCCCCGTCGTGACACCCATGGCCGCCGTCTTCTTCGGCGTCGGCTACTACCCCGCGGAATACGGGGGCGTGCCGCCACCCGCGTATGTGGTGGTTCGAGCGCGCTAATGCCAGACACAATGCGGCGTACGTTTGTAGTGTATGTGGACGCGCTGGTCTAGCTCATGGCAGGCGTTTCCTGCACTTAACCATGTAACACACAGCTCGCACATGCCACGGCAACCACGGCCACCATGGCCACTACGGCCACTACAGCCATCACGGGCACTACATGTACGGCCATCATCAGCTATATCTCCCGTACGTTGCACTGTGTCCCGCGCGTCTCCCTCACGGCAGCGCCGACACTTGGTGGTCCAACGAACGTCGCCCGGACCCTGCCGACCAGTGGTACACTGTCGACCGACACGGCATGTATCGCCCTGTACGGCGCTTTCGGGACCTCCTCGTTCGCAAGTTGTGGTAGTGTCGTAGCAGACTCTCCACGAGATGGTGCACGTATGCATGTCTTCTATGCGCAATGGGCGCGGCTGTCCACCGCAACCCCTACCGACCACGATGCCCTCCCTCACCAACCATTACCACCTAACGCACGCTAAGGATGATGTCGTCAATCTTCAACAGGAGCGCCACGGTCTCGGCCGCCAGCTCGAGCGCGCTCGTCGACACCAACAGCGGCTGCACGACGCCCAGGTCCTGGATGTTGCTCACGATGCCCTTCTTCACGTTGATGCCCGCCATCATGTCGCCCAGGGCATGCCTGTTGCGCAGCTCGGTCACGATGCCAATAGGGTTCAGGCCCGCGTTCTCGGCAAGCGTTGTCGGGATAATCTCGAGCGCCTCCGCAAACGCCTGATAGCAGTACGCCTCCTTGCCCCTGAGCGTCTCGGCGTATTGCGAGAGTAGCCGCGAAACGTGGATTTCCGGGGCGCCGCCGCCAATGATGAGTGCGCGCTTCTTCACAAGGCAGCGAACCACACACAAAGCGTCGTGCAGCGAGCGCTCACTCTCCTCAAGAACGAGGTCGTTGGCGCCGGTGCACACAATCGAGACGGTCTTGCCGGGGTTCTTGACACCGGTGACCTTGACAACCTTGGCACCGTTCAAGTTGTCCTCCTCGACGAGCTCGGCCGAGCCAAGCTTGTCCTCAGTGAACGCGTCAATGTCGGCGACGGGCTTGGCACCAGTCGCCTTGGAGATGAACTCGATCTCGTCGCGCTCAATGTCCTTGATAACCATGATCTTGAGCTTGGCAAGGAAGTGGAGGGACAGGTCGGTGACAGCATCGCGCAGGATCGACTTCTGGATGAGCAGCACGTTGCAGCCAGTCTTCTTGATCTTCTTGCACAGGTTGAGCAGGTACTGGCGCTCTTCCTTGAGGATCTTGTCCATCTGGCGGTAGTCGTTGACGACGATCTGGTTGTCCATGTCGGGCTTGGGGCTCGAGAGCTGGAACTGGATGAGACCAATCTTAGCCTTTTCCATGCGTGTCGGGCCACCGGCGTTGGCCATGGCAGGCTGCTTGAGCGCAAGGCCCTCGACAAGCTCGGTGTCGTCAATTGTTCCGCCGACCTTTTTGATCAAGCGGATGTCACGAAGGTCCACGTTGCTCGAGGTGGAGGAAACGAGTCTAAGGACGGCGTTGACGGCGATGGGGGCAAGAGTGGACGAGTACTGGGACACGACCTTGGAGTTGAGCGAGGTGGAGGCTGCGCGCAGCAATGCCTCCTTGTCGTTCAGGTCGACAGGGGTGCTCATCTGCTCGAGGAACTCGACGGCCTTGGAGGCTGCGGCCTGGAATGACTGCGCAATTGTTGTTGGGTGGATGCCCTGGGACAACAGCTTCTCGGCCTGCGACAGCATGCTGCCGGCCAGCACGACCACACTCGTCGTTCCATCGCCCGCTTCGATGTCCTGCGCCTTGGACAGCTCGACCAGCATGCGCGCCGCGGGGTGCAGCACTGCCATGTGGGAGAGAATCGTCGCGCCGTCATTTGTAATAACAACCTCGCCGGTGGAGGTGGTGATCTGAGTGTCAGCGGAGCTCGTGGCAGACGTAACGGCCCCTCGGCCCACGGGAGCTGCTGTGAAAGCTGCTTATGTGAGAGACATCCCGCCAGCTTTCAGCCGCGAAAGCCGGCTCCCAAGCCATGGAGGCGCCGCGCCCGACCTCGTCATGCCGCACGCCCTCTAGTCGTCCTGCGCCAGAAACCCACCATCTTGTCCATACCCTTCGGTCCCAACGACGTGCGGACAGCGTCTGACACGGCTATGGTCAGCTTTGCGCTTTCCCTTGTATTCTAGTGACTTGTACCCACCCTTGGCAGCGTTCATGTTAGACAGGCGCACCTCTGTCGGCTTGCCCTTGTCAGCAAACGAGCTGTCGGCGATCTTGGCGCCGGCGCCGAGCTGCTGCGCGGGCCCGGGGGCGGAAGGTGCTGCTGACATGCGTTCTGTCTGTTTGGGGAGTGAGTGTGATAGAGAAGAAGGGAGCGCGTTGATGAGCGCGTTGTAGCGGTTGAGGGAAGGCGAGGTGAATGGAATGTCGTGGTGCTTGGAAAGTTGGATACGCGTCGGACACGACAGCGTGCCATTTGGTTCCGCCTCCCTCCGCCTGGCGCCTGCACGTGTCGTCAATCCACGTGGGGATGAGAGAAGCTGCAGGCGTGAGTTCGGGAGAGTAGGCATCTGTAGCTTCAAGGCGCCTAAAAAAGCGACATCACATGGGAAGATGTCGTTTTAGGCGTGCAATTTTAAGATCGGTTGGGTCCCGAGTGCCGCGGAGATCTGGCGATCTGGCGGCTGTGCCTAGACCGGTGACCAAGGCCTGAGCGGCTGGGCGGATCTTGGCCCACCCCAACCGCGCTGGTAGCGCCACGCATGCCGCAGACTACTCCCTAATCAACGTGAAGCAAATGGTGAGCCACGACAAAAGACCTCATCATCGAGAGCAGCAAGGAAAGTAGGGTGACGGCCAGTCTTTGTAGAGATCAAAAGTGATTGATGTGAGTTGGCATTATCGATGTTACGGAATGTCCGTGATGGACAAGCGATAAGATGCACCAATGCGAGGCGGAGGCGCGTATCAGACCGTGTCCAGATTCCAGATCAGGCCCCACATTCAATGCCGAGTGAATACGACTAATAGACAAGACTTGACGGAGTGGCGGCTAGCAAAGCAAAGAGCAAGCGCCAGAATGCTCGATTGCGCAACCAACAAAAACTAGCGCCGGCCGGCAGATCGGGGAAGACCGCATGGGGAGTGCAAGGGCGTGCAGGGAGACAAGGTGCGGAGGGCAAGCGAGGAATGCCGCACAACCCGCGTCACCCAGGTGACTACTATGGACCCCAGCCACCTTCCCTGTTAAACGCGCGCGTCTCTTGCCATCCTGCATATAGTATTATACAATCCCCTATTCATCTCCATCTCTCTCATTCTCTTCATCTCTCATTCTCTCATTCTCTCATTCTCTCATTCTCTCATCTCCTCCTCCTCCTCTCTCCCCCCCCGAACCTCCCAATCATGCCGCCCCGCATCCCTCGACGCCTCCCAACCGGACCCCGTCTCCAGTCCATCGCTCGCGCTCCTCGCCTCCCCTTCGTCCCCACCCAGGTCCGCCGACACACCAGCCGTGACCGCTACTTCCTCCGACCCCTTCAGAGCGAGGCTCCCGCCCCAACCTACGACTACAAGTTCCTCGCTCACCCAGCTGCTGTCGAGGTATGGCCTAACTCACTCTCACACTCAAAACTCACTCCAGGTTCTTGGATACCCCTTTTCAGGCGGCCAGCCTCGCGGCGGCGTCGACCAAGGGCCCGAAGCTCTCATCAAGGCTGGCCTGCTTGACCAGCTGCGCGCCCTTGGGTGGAATGTCAACTTCAACCAGGAGTCGCTGGATGATGTGCGTGCTCTCGCAGAGCAAAGGAACGACGCCGACATTGGCAAAATTCACAAGCCACGCGCGGTCAGCGCCATCAACGAGAGGGTCGCAGATGACGTCGCGGCCATTCAGGCGCGGGGTGCGCTGCCTCTCACGCTCGGAGGCGATCACTCACTGGTGAGTACTCGTCCCGCTACACTTGCGGATTGCGCAAATCTGCGCCACTCGTCGATAGTCAATCCTTTGCTCAAGACGCACTACCGATTGCCTTCGAAACTGGCTTCTCATGACCAACGCCTATCTTGCTTCCCCTTCTCCGACCTCCAACCGTCCCTCTTGAGCTTCACGACTGACCCCAGGGCATGGGCACCGTGGCCGGCACGAAGCGGCGTTTCCCCGAGGCTGCGCTCATCTGGGTCGATGCCCACGCCGACATCAACACGCCCCTCACCACCGACTCGGGCAACCTCCACGGCTGCCCGGTCTCCTTCCTTCTCGGCCTCGAGGGCACCGACATTCCGCCATTCAATGTGTGGCTTCAGCCCTGCCTGCGCCCCGAGGATGTGGTCTACATCGGTCTGCGCGATATCGACGACAAGGAGAAGCGCATTCTCCGCGACCTGGGCATCAAGGTGTTCACCATGCACGACGTCGATGCCCACGGCATTGGTCGCGTGATGGAGCAGGCGCTCGCGCACGTTGGCGCCGCCCGACCCATTCACCTCTCGTTTGACGTCGACGCGCTTGACCCCACCGTTGCTCCGTCGACCGGAACGCCCGTTCGTGGCGGTCTGACGTTCCGTGAGGGGCACTACATCGTTGAGGCCATCGCCGAGACCGGCAACCTTGTGGCCGTGGACATCGTCGAGGTGAACCCTACTCTCACGGACGAGGTGAGCGCCGCGCAGACTGTCGCCATCGGGTGCTCCCTCTCCCGAGCTGCGCTCGGCGAGACCCTGTATTAAGTGGGCTCTCGGAGGCTGATCGAGGCACTGCCACAACATGTGTGTATTCCTAGCACTATCCCGGTATAATGAACCCTATATGTGGAGCTCGGTGTGCCGACTGACCTAGAACTAATCTAGTGACAGATGCCTTCTTAGCGGCGCCTGAACCACCGCCGGCGTTCCTCACGGCGCTCCCGTGACTCCCCCTGCATGTCACGGTCACTAGCCGAGATCAGCCCGCGCGCGATAAGCTCTGCCTCATCCCAGCTCCCGCTGCTTGCGCTTGGACTCATCATGCTTAGGCTCCGTTCCTCCGACCCACGCTCGTCGGCAAACGACACGCGCGGCACCTCTCGCTCCTTGCCTTTGCGCGTCTCGCCTGCTTCAGCCGCTGCCTTGTCAGCCTCGCGCTCCAGGAACGCGTGGAGCATGTCAAGTCCTTGGCTGCCGCTCGGCCCGGCTTTGAACCGCGACCGATCCCAAAACTTGAGGTCTCGGCTGGCCGATCGCATAGCGCTTTTGCGTGGCCGCGACGGCCCCGCCTCGCCGATCTCGGGCAGAGGGCTGAGGACCTGGCGGCGTCGGAATGAGCGCCGCTTCGCCAGACGTCGCAAGGGCTGTGGGCCCACGGCCGCCTCGTACTCGCATACAGCGCCGCACCGCCCGCCGCATGGACATGGACTGCGCGCCTCCGACGTGATGCTCGGACGGGGCTCAGACTCGTCGTCCCCATCCTCGCTTTCTTCCCCTCGCACCGGCTCCGGGCCATGCAGGGCGGCGTTTAGCGCCTCCCACGCATCGGAAATGAGGGCGGCGACCACATCTCCTTCGTCCTCTGGAAGCGCCGAGGCTGCGACAAACATGAGGTCCAGAGTGGCCATGCGCGTGTCGGGCCGGTGGGGGAGAAGATGGCCGTACTCGACCATGAGGCGGCGGACTTGAGTTAGAGGTCTAAGGGAGTGGGTGACTCACAAGGATCCTCGTCGGACGATGAGCTTCGCCGGGTGTCCACGCTCGAACGGTGTGAATGTGATGATTTTTGCCTTGCGCTTGATCCCTCATGCACTGCCACAACCAGCTGGGCGACGACGGCCCCCTCGCCGTCCGACAGCTCTGTAGCGGCGACAAGAAGCGCGTCGAGCGTCTCGACCCGATCCAAGTCGGGCGAGACCAGGTGGCCGTATTGGAGCATGAGCAGCTCGTCTTGCGTCAGCTTCCGCATACCCAAGTGCCGTACATGGATCGGCATCCCCCTCCGCGCTGGCACCGCCAGTGCTTTGGCCGGCAGCGGAGTCGTAAACTTTCATAATGGCGTGGACTGCCGACTCGCGCTGGTGGTCTGGCAGCTCGAAAGCGGCGCCAAGAAGCGCGTCCAACGTTTCCTCAATAGAGCCCGAGAAATGGGCGGGAAGGAGGTGACCGTATTCGTCGAGAAGTCTGCCATCTGGCTTCAGATCAACTATACTAGGCCGGCAGCAGCTTACAAGGATCGACGCCCGACTCTTGTTCCACTGCCCTCTTCGCTTCTTGCCTCAAGCTCTCGGGCTCGCTGCTCCCCCGCCGCACACTGCTCTGACTTCGTCGGCCAGAACAGCTAGCACTCTGGTCGGTCTTGATAAACTCAAAAGCTTCCATGACCATCGCGGCAACGGCGAGCCCCTCATCTTCCGGCAGATCGGTCGCAGCCGCGAAGATGAGGTTTAGCACCTCCATCTGGCTGCTGGGCCGGTGCGGAAGGAGATATCCATAATTGGATATCAGACGCTGGACTTCTGTCAGATCGGCTGAAGGGCAGGCTCACATGGATCCTGGACTGGCTTGACGATGGGTTTCGGCGGTAATGGCGGGAAGTTTGGGCGCACTACATCCATCAGAGCCCGTGATGGGCGCGGATATCGCAGTTGCGGGAGGGGCGGAAGAGGCTCGAGGAGAGCCGCTTCGCCTCTAAACTCGGGGCCTTGGGAACGAGGAACACGGCGGGTGCTTCTCGTCCGACGTGGGCTTACATGTGGCCCCTTACGTGAAGGTGGGGCACTGTATCGCGTTCTTGTGGTGGGTGGTTCTCGAGAAGCGGAGCGGCTTGAGTCAGAGCCGTGGGAGGCATGGTAAGCGCTGTTCCTCCTCTCGTCATTAGGGAGGGTGGGGAGAGGGCGACTGGTGCCGTGACGAGGAGAAGCCTTGGATCCTGCCTTTGAATGCTCGGCATCGCTCAGAGCACGAGGCCCGATAGTACTGCTGCTCGTCACGCTTGGCGTACTGGCGGAGCTCCTGCTCTCGGTGAAAAGTCCACACAGGCCCAAGATGCTGTCCGACGAAGGCACGGCAGCTGTGCCAGACACAGGGAGTGGCCTAGTCGCTGCTTCACCATCCGTTGTCCGAGGTCTGAGGTAGATGAGCTGCGCTCTTGCAGTGCCAACGATGTCGGCTCCTCGCCACGGCTTGTGTCCATTATTGCTGCTGTCTTGCGAGTGGTTAAGAGCACTTGTCGTCATCGGTGGAGAACTCACACCAGTGAGGCTGATAGGGGTGTTTTCGGCTCCGTACGGGGTGGGCGAGACGCTGGCACGGGCCGTGCGCTCTATACCGGTGATAGCCGGCGCAGAGGGTGCTAGGCACCTGCTGCTGAAGCCGTTGATGGTCGGAGGGCGGGGTAGGGGGCGCCTCGGCCTGGCATTGGGTTGGCTGTTGAGGTGATTGGCACCGAGTGAGCCGTTTTCTTGGCCATGAGAGAGCCCTTCCTTGTCTGCATTCGTCGAGGAAGTGCGACTATTGTCCTATATGCTGACGCTCGGCTGTGGTAGGGCGTTACGGATTGCAGACGTGTGATCGTGACTTGTGCCGTTAAGAGTTGGCTCGCTGTGCTCACCCAGATGAGGTGCTGAGCTCACCAGCGCCTGTTCAGCGCTTCGGGCGGTGGATCGCACAACTGTTTCCTTTGGGAGTAGACGCGGTGTCCCCGACTCATATGCGGATAATCTATCCGTTCCCTCGAGAATCGTGGCGCGAGCACAGGACATCCCGTGTTGGACGCTATTGTCAACGTTGGCAAGCGCAGCCTTCGCGAGCTCAGCCCACTGTTATAAGCTTTGTCGATTCCCTTAGCAGCTCACGTCGCCAAGCTCCTCCACTTCGTTGTGGAGAGAGGGTGCATGGGGCATGGCCGGAGGCGAGGACAGTGTGAGTGCCGGATCGGAGGATTAATGGTGGGTAAGATGGGCAGGGTGATGAAGAGATGTGAGATGAGTGAGATGAGTATGTGTGGAGTGAGGTTAGTGCACACAACACGCGCACTTCCCTCCCTCACCGCCGCCGGCAGGCCGCTGACGGGTGGCGGGAGCCGAACCTTGGTCAAGACGATGACGGTGTGACGGGTACACCTCCTTTGTTCGGTGGCTTTTCGGCAAGCCACCTTCTTGTCCCACCCGGACCGGACTTCATTGCGGATCGAGGGTAGGTCGTTCACGCGCACGCGGAGCACCGCTGCCCATCCTCTGTGCGTCTCATCCGAGCAGGAGGTTTGTGCTGTTGCTGCAAGATATGCATCCGAGAAGCCTGCCATCGGAAGAGCGTAAGTACGCTGCGTCCTCCGCCCAATGTGGCCGCGATCGCCAGCAGATCAGAGCATGCCCTTGGCCTTGCCCTCCATCTCGCGGCCCTCCTCCCACATGGTACGTCCCGAGCATGCGCACACCGTCTTGTCGTTGCCCCATGTACCAGCCGAGCGAGCGACCACTCCAGCGAAAACGCTGCCTGCCGGGAAGGAGGGGGTGCCTTCTGGAACGTCCTTTTTCGGTTCGACGCCTTGCTGCTCCACTACGCACGCACGTCCAATCCATTCCCAAAGCTCGCCATCCACCTCCTTGAACAGGTCGCCGTACCCGTCCTTGTCGGGGTTGATGGTTCCTAGGTCGACATAAGCTCCCTTCGTCGTGACAGGCGGATCAACAAGGTTACCCGTCTTGGAGACATAAGCACGGAAAGCGTTCTGAGAGGGCGGGAGCCGTACAGTCAGGTCAAGAAGGATGGAACGTGGGGCAATCTGCACGAAGCGCGCAATACCGAACACCTTCTGCGTGAACTCGTCATCTTCGAGACCGTAAAGTTCGCGCTTAGTCGACTCTGGAAGCGCCTTGGCGACGGTGGTGGGAACGGAGATGGGCGACTCAAGAATCGAGATGGCAGCCTGTGGGGGAAGGGAGGGGTCGGCGGCACCAGAGCCGCGAACGAGAACTTGACGCTCTGTCGACTTGAGCGCCGCGAGAAGTTGAGAAGGGGGGGCTGAGGTTAGTGAATGCACGTAAGGAAATGGAGGGAATTCCAGTCAGCCACTCGTATTTGGATTGAGTGAGAGTGAAGTGGGAAGATAGCAGGTTGAGGCGGCCTCAACGAAAGGAAGGCGAGACGACCACGGGGGGATTGACGGCGGGGGACATGGCAAGTCAACTACACTCACTCTTGCCTGTGATGGTAACGCGCTTGTTCTCCAGCTCAATGTCGTATCGCTCAATGCCTATGGTCAGAGACCGACCAAATGTTGCTGCTCAAGCACTTGCGACCTACCAGGCAGATCCTGGAGCGCATTCTTGACAGCTCCGACGCACTAGCGTCAGCTGGTCCAGCAAGTCCAACGCACACTCTCGCAGGTCATGTCGACCGCAAACTCAGTCTGGGATCAGCATGATCACATGCGTCGACAAACTTTGAACGCAGTGCTTGCGAGGACCATGGTGAGGACGGTGAAGTGTGGATGAAGAACGGAACGATGAGTACTCCAGTGCTTGCTCATCATGAGTGAGCGGACCGGCCATGCCCGAGCGCCGATGACCTCCACTTTCGTGCTCGATCGGATAATCCATGCCAGGTTCAGTCACTCTGTCAGAATGCCACAGCGCCAGTCGCGCTTGTACGTGCTGCATACGAGAGCGCAAGAAAAGCCTCATACAGCCATCCGGGCAAGTGCATCAGTCGTCTGACCGTATTGTGGGCCAGCGAGGGTGCACTTGAATTTCGCTATTAGCTATTCCAAGTCGATAAACAAGGCCACGTGACCCGGTTATGAGCGGGCATTTCGAAGTTGCTGGAATACCCCACACTGCAACTCATGATCGACTTCCCTCCAGACACCACCACTCTTGACTTGTCTCCATTCTTCTCCGTCACAACTAATCACACGCACAATGCCCAACAAGGTTGCCTACTTTGACATCAGCATCGGCGGACAGCCCGCCGGTCGCATCGAGTTCGAGCTCTTCGACGACGTCGTGCCCAAGGTTAGCAAAACGCCAGACGATTGCTGACTCCAGACCGCGGCCAACTTCGAGCACCTCTGCATCGGCGACAAGATCAACGAGAAGGGCACCAAGCTCACCTATGTCGGCTCCTCCTTCCACCGGTGCATCAAAGGCTTCATGCTTCAGGGCGGTGACGTTGGTGCCATCTTAGATCGTTAGCTGACTGGCAGTTCACCCGCGGTGACGGCACTGGCGGGGAGTCGATCTATGGCGAGAAGGTGAGAGTTTGTTCAGGGGATGGATGAAGCTGGATTCATACATTGTCCTGGTGAGAGACAACCGCTAACATCAGTTTGCGGACGAGAACTTCACTCTCAAGCACGAGAAGCCGATGTTGCTGTCGATGGCCAACGCCGGCCCCAATACAAACGGCTCGCAGTTCTTTATCACCACTGTTCCCACCCCCCATCTGGATGGCAAGCACGTCGTCTTTGGTCGCGTGCGCTCGAACCGCGCGCTTGTTCGTCGTATCGAGGACATCCCCACCACGGCCTCTGACCGTCCTGAGGAGGAGGTGAAGATCACCGGCGCTGGTGTGCTGGATGCCGCCGAGGTGGAGAAGGAGGACGCCGAGCGTGCTCGCGCTGCCGAGGCTGCGGCTAAGGGGGGCGAGGATGTCTTTGAAGATTACCCTGCGGATGAGGAGAAGGTTGACGCCGAGAAGGCCGAGGAAGCACTCAAGGTTGCTCAGACCCTCCGAGCCCTCGGCAACGCAGCCTTCAAGGCGGGAGAGAACACCGTCGCTCTGGCCAAGTACCAAAAGGCGCTGCGATACCTCGACGTGCACCCGGAGCTGCCCAACGATGCCGCCGCCGAGCTGGTCGATGGCTTCCGCAGCACGAGGTTCCCGTGCCTCACGAATGGGAGCCTGGTCGCGCTCAAGGTTAGCCCGCCTCAGGCCAAGCTGGCCGAGTCGCTTGCCAGCCGAGCGCTTAATGTTGCCGACCTCACCGCCGCCGAGAAGGGTAAGGCCCTCTACCGGCGCGGTGCCGCTCGCGTCGCGCTGAAGGACCTGGATGGCGCCGAGGCAGACCTTGCGGAGGCAAACAAGCTTGTGCCAGGCGACGGCGGTGTTACGAAGACTCTGGCAGAGGTGCGCGCCCAGAAGAAAGCTGCGCTCGACAAGCAGCGTGCGGCGTACTCCAAGATGTTCGGATAACAGACCGCGCATGGACGGCAAACGAGGAAGTGTATCGATGTTAGCATAGGATAGACAGACTGCTGCGTGGATGGCATCTGCATTGTGTTTCTACATGACGGCTTGATGTATGGGTGGGACGAAGGACGAAGGGTGCGATCGCCCATCATCCGTCGTCGATTGCGTATGACGCATGTCGCGCGACGTAGAAAAGACGCTTGTCTGGTAGCGGGACCCGCGCGGGTATATACAAACGCGACGATGACAACGCATGTACAATGCGCGGGAGAAACCAGCTCCGTCGCATGACATCCCGGAAGTACATAGAAGCTGGCGTTAGCGTCTGATGAGGTAGCGAGCGCCAAGAGATCAGAAGTAGAAGTAGGGTGTCCTCAGTGTGTGTAGGACTGTTGAGCTTGAAAATTATTTTGCTCATCATGGAAGGCGCGAGAGGCAGGCTGGGGGTGACTCACCATTTGTTTTGAAGATTTGCGCGGTGCGAGATGCGATGGACGAAAACATGACGTGTTGCGAGGTGGAACATGCTGTAAAGTTTTCACGACTGGCTGGGTTGTCGTTGTCGCCGGCTCTAGCTCGCTGGTCGCCACCATTGCCGCTGTCTGTGCCCGCGTCGCGCTGCTGCAGTAAACATTATGCGATACATACGATGAAGGAGAGCTACGGAAGTCGATCAGAAAGCCCTCGCGCGCCCACGGTCAACCGTCACCCTCCCTTTCGGTTGGGATCCAGCGTCACGCCAGCTTCTTCGTGTCTCCGAGGCCGGGGACAAGTACTCTGTGAAGAGCGGCGAGGGGCTATATCATCGCCTCGACGTGGAAAATGTGGCTAGTGTGAACTAGCGAGAGTGAACGGTTACTGTAGAGAGATCTGGATGTCAGCACTGGCGATGGGGGATGAGGCGGCGAGGAGGATGGGAGGTCGAGCAGCAAGGAGGGGGCCTAGACGGGCAGGTAGATACTCACCCTACAGAGTGTGGTCACTAGAGAACAAGAAACGCGCCCCGTCCAAAATATATACCCCCTGCCAGCCGGTGGAGGTCGGTGGAGGTCTACGCTCGCACCTCGGCGTTTCAGTACCGCCGCCCCCGTGGCAATACAGCCACGCGGCACTTAAGCTTATTATTAACTCTCCTGCCAAGCGCTCACAAACATGTTTTTGGGATACCACAGATGATGTGCATTGCCAAGGTCCACAAACGGATTGACCTCATGGTGCGCTTGCTCGCAACATCGAGAGTAGGTGACTCGCTCCGCGCTTGATCTGCTGCACCACATGGATGCACAAGTACTAGTGAGTGGCGTTTGCTTTATAGCCCTATTACGTCGGTCCCACATTAGTTCGACATCTCGGGTCGACACAGTTTTTTTGTCGTAGTTGCAAAGAGATAGGTTTGTAGTTGTGCTCTGACAGCCGACCATGCGTCCATGTCCAAATGCAGGGGCTTGCTCCTTCCTAGTTTCCTTCGGCAGGCCGCTCTTGCGCGGTAAATATGCAACATTCGCGACCGACCGAGTCCACGTGATGTCGGTCGAAAGTTGTCATGCATTCATGACTGTCAATTTGTTGTCGCACTCTCAGGTAGGGAGCCTGCCCCGGTTGGTTCATGTCTGATAACGCAAGCAGTCGTATGGAGGAAACCCAACTGCATACGACTCCAACATTGGTACAGGCGTAAAGAGGAGGAGGCCGATGCTCCTCGGGCCTCGGAGGGTACCAGTGTCGTCGGGTCTGCTCAACAAGCAGAGCTTGCCCGCACTGCAACTGGAGCAGAGCGCTCGCACGAGGAGAGACCGCGGGAGTAAGGCACGTGGTCGAGTACGCTTAATACCCTGAGAGCGCGGATGTTGCGTCTGTTTCAGCACCCCACCACCCGCCTCATGCACCTCGCCTTGAGCATTCATGGGCAGCTGAGCAGCTCCTCTCCCCCTCTCGCATTGTAACCAACCGCTCCAACTCACACTTCCTCTTCCGCCATCGACGAGGTCTTCACTTGGCCACAAACCACTTGTCATGGCCATTCTTGTTGTCCTCGCGACCGTGGTCGGCGTGGCCAACGCCCTCGCTCCCAACTTCACACTTTCTTGGGGTGTCCGGGTAACGAGCCCACTATTCTCGCGAGACCCCGCAGACAGCTGGATCGACACGTACGCCAACTCGGACGACTCTCTATACACAACTGGCGTGCGAGGTGCAGGCATTCCGACACTCGTAGGAGGTCCTGGCGGCCGTGTTTCGTTCGCATACGTCGGCCGCAATATGACTTGGTATGCTTACTTTAACGGGTCCGACCCAGGCCAAGTCACGATAGACCTGGATGGTAATGCACAGCCATCACCGCGAAACACCTTTCAAGACGGGGACTACCAACGCCTTGTGGGTCCGAGCAACGTGGACGTAGCGGAGGGATCGCACACCTCCTCAATCGGTCTAGGAAACGGCGCCCCGGCTGACGCCCGTCTCCTCGTCGAGGGCGCAACATTTGGGCTTCCCATTGTCGCACCGACGTAAGTGTGGATACAGGATCCGTGTTGTGGGCTTATCGTTTCTTTCATACTGACGAGGGATAGCCTGGACCGCAAAGACATCGAATGTTGGCGATGGCCATTTGCCGGCATGATTGCACCGGGAACGTCGAACCAGTTCATCAAGACCACTGGTCCTTGGCGTATCAGCCACTCCATCGGCGGTATTGGCGGGCAGCCTGTGATTCCCTACCCCACCATCTGGGCCAATGAGTCAGCATCAGTGCAGGTAACCCTCCCAGCGTCGAGTACAATGCTAGAAATCAACGGAACGGTAGGCCCCGGCTATGGCAGATACACGGTCGAAGTGAACCCGCCGCCACCCCAACTTCTGGGTACGAATACCTTTGATGCTCACCGCCGATACGTGGCACTCAACGAGACCATGTATATCAACTCATTAGACCCCGCCGTCAACTACACTTTCACCATTACAGGGGACGAAGATCCGACCAAAATTCTGGGACTTGTTGCCTGGAAAGCCTGCTTTCTCCACAACCCGTACGTCCGGCTGTCCTGGCTCAATGCACACTAACTATGAGCGAGTTTGTCGTCCGTGCAGGGGCTGGCGGGAGCAATGCGAGCAGCACTGCGGCCGGTGGCAGTGACAACGCAGGAATCTCGGTAGTCGTCTCGAGTGGGAGCTCGCAACCTACCAGTACAGGAAATTCGGAGGCTGGTGCTGGTGCTTCCTCTGCGGGTACCAAGACCAACATTGGTGCCATCGCTGGCGGCGTGGTCGGAGGGTTGTTGGGCGCTGGCTTGCTTGCTGCGGTGATCTTCTTCCTGTGCAGGCGCCGTAGACAGCGACATAAGGCGTGAGTCCGCGCTGGAACCGAACGATCCATCCACCGTCTCTTCCCCTCCCCCCTGACGCGACAGGAGCACAGAACCGTTTGTTATCGATGTCACCGAAGACGCCGTGACACCGTTCAAGCCGGATACCTACCGAGATGGGCCGAATAACCAGCAACACCAGATGGCCTACGCTTCCCTTCTGCCACACAACCAGCACCATGACGGCCGGTTATCGCGCGAGTATAGCCCTTACGCGGGGCGCGAGCATGGATACTCAGCCGGCAGTGCAACCTCGGGGCCTTCGTCGCAGGAATACCAGGTCCAAGCACAGGAGAAGCACCGGCAGCAAACAGTCACAGTGAATCCCGATGAGCCAATGAATGAGGAGACAGTGCAGGTGCTCCTTAATGCGCTTCAGAAGCATCGACAGTCCTCTGGCTTACCGCTAGAGGAGGACGCGGGGCCTGCACTCGACGTCCGCCTGATGCCTCCGATGTACAACCCTATGTGGGCGCCGCCCGCGCCGCAAGTGGAAACATCTGCGGCGGGATCGTCCATCCCCCCCAACACATCAGAGTACCCGAGCGGGACGACTTCCCCCACCTCGCGACCCAAGTGGCACTAGCTAGTAAATTTTCATCTGTGAGACTGTCTCTGTAGTCTTTTCGCGACCGGATGAATCCCGTCATTCCAACATCAAGAATGGCCTGTCCGCGGTTTACAAGATTGAGTAGACGTCGGCATGTGCGATAGACGGTTGTGATGGGCGGTTAACCCGGGGCCACTCACTCTGCCCACTAGTGTGCTTTGGCCCCAACCATATGTGGCTTGCCAGGAGACAGCGGGCTACAGTGTACCAGACCCACGTACAGACCTGTGACCAGCTTCACAGTCTTTCCGCTCGAGGCCTTTTAAGGAGAGGGGGGGGGGGGGGGAAAGCACGTCCAATATTCAATTCCATGCGGCTGTTTCGATCAGATGTACTACAACACCTCATATTTCAAACGTTGGTGGCCACAAGGCTCTGGAGGAGCCACAACACATCGCTAGCTCTGATTAAATGATGCACAATACCAACCACCACTCTACCGCAACGGCAGTGGGCCTCCCTTCATGTACAGGCATGTTCGCACAACTGCTCCTCAATGATGGCTCCGAAGCCGTTTCTCGCGGTTCACTGCACCTTGGGGCTGAGTATCAGTTGTGCCGCGAACACCGCCATGCCGCGCACACCAGAATAAATACATCATGCGATGGCAGTACGATTACTTCTTGAGACTCCACTTCTTTTCTACGCCTCCAGCGTGAAGGCACCACTCCCCGAAGTCCCACGAGCCTTCGACGAGGCCACGCGACTGCTTAATAGGCGGGTCGATGAGGTCCTTGACGAACACGTACGAGTTGAGGTGCATCTCGGGGTTAGGAGCACGGGCCTCGTCGCTCTCAAACCACTCAAGAGTGACGTGCATCGTGTCAAACTTCTTGCCGGTGACCTCAGAGAGGACTTCGGTGATCCGCTTAACCGAGAGCTTGTCGGTGACGCAGTCAATCGTCTTACCCTTCCACGCGTTCCAGTCGCGCAGGGCAAGGCGGACCCAGAGTCCCAGCTGCTCGATCGGCACCTGCGGGATAGTGCTCTGGTCCGGGAGGGGGCACTTTAGAACAATGGTGCCGTCCGCCTTCTCCTCAGTCGGGTAGCCCAGGACGTTGGACATGTAGTAGGTTGCGTTGACGTAGACGGTAGGGAGGCCGACTTTCTCGATGTGTTCGCGGACTGGCGTCAGCGTGGCAAGGTTGAAGAAAGCTTACTATACGTCTTGCTCTCGGTGTGCGGCACCTTCTGGCCATTGATATCGAACGATTCGAGCGAGCTGTATACCAGTTGCTTGTTGCCGTACTTGTGGCAGACGTCGACCACGTCCATTGCCTGCTTGCCCTCCTTCTGCGTGCACTCGTCGGGGTTGGTGCCATCGTACCATTGCCACCAGTTGGTGTTGAGGAATACGGCGTCGGCGTTCTTGAGCGCCGCATCGTAGCTGGCCGGGTCATCGAGGTCGCCCTGTATCATCTCGACGCCCTGTGCTGCCAGCGCCTGCGCATGCTTGCTACTCGTGTTGCGCGTCAGGCCCGACAGCTTGAACTTCTCCGGGCCGTCCTCAAGAAGATACTTGGCCACTGAACCGCCCTGTTGGCCAGTGACACCGAAGATGAGGACTTTGATGGGGGGCATTGTGACTACTTGCTTTTGATGTGAGGCAGGTGTGAGAGTGCTCGCGGTTGCCATGAGCGGCAGAGCTTCTTATACTGCCTGCCACCTACGTCGTCGCCCGATGACGCGCCATGATGTCTCGGTCATGGTCGGTCATGCACTGGTGCCGCCGGCATGGCGACTTTCCCCGCATCCACCATCCACCAACCAATTCGGTCACGCCGTCTATCAGTCATCCCTTGGGCTCCCGAAAGCCTAAGTCCGGTTTCTCATTCCCCGTCAGCACGTCTGAGCTGATCCGGCCAACGCGCCGTGGCTAGCTTCGCGGGGCATGATGCGTTGGGTCACAGAGAACGGGGTGAGCGAGGACCGAGCAGTCAGCGTGGAATGTGCAATGGAGCCGGCAAGCGACGGATGACAGCGGAGCTTCGTGGACGAGGGTGTGTAACTGGTTTTGGCAACAGATACGGAGCGGTCTAAGAGGCACTAAGAGGCACCAGACCATGAGGTTGCTCGAGTTGACCTACCGAGCCGAACTGCATCGTGGCCAATACCTTTCTAGTCTTTGCTGCACTGACGTTTCATGCACTGCACCGAGACGATCAGACGTCGCGGCGTTTGGTGGCGTCGTAAGCTTCAGCGGGAGCAGCTCAGTTCGTTCCAGCACGGCGTCGGCGTCACCCTCCGCAAGGTTGCAAGGTGGAGGCATGTCCACATTCCACGGCGTTGATCGCCACGCACTCGGAATCGAACCAAAACTCTTTCTCCACCCTCGTTCGCTCCATCGACCACTGTCCGCGATGTACTGGCCGACAACGGCTGCGCGGATCATCGCCGTCCCACCCCCGCTCGACGAGCGCTTGCATCGCGTCCGCGCGTCGCGCCGTGGGAATCTATTCGTCACGCTCGCCGATGATCGGCTCGGCGTGTGGGAGGTGCGGCCAACGGTCCTCCAGGCCGCGATGCTCCGGAGCAGAGGCAGCGTCGACCGGTGGGGTGCCAACAAGGACGTATTCTGGGCGCATGATGGTCGAAGTTTGGTCGTGTTAGTAAGTACAGCGTTATTCGTTCGATGTTGTTAGTCAACGTCCGCTTGCTCGCTGACCAAAGACCACCACATCTCATCTCATCGTGTATTCACTCGTGCCGACAGGAGTTCCAGCCTATGAGAGCGCGCCCTCAACCTCTTTCCCACCCGGGGGAGGGCCTGGAGAAGGTGGCGAGCTAGCGGGCTGGGAGTTGCGGTGCGATGGCGTCGCCTTCGTGATGGGCCGAGCTACTGCAGTCCTCCCACAGCCGCACACCGTCGTGATCACGCTGCAGCACCCACCAGCACTTCTCACTGTGCCATACCCTATCCCGGCTCACCTCCTCACACCACCAGGATCGCACTTTCCACCAGCACCGCTTGACGGCGACACGGAGGAGCAGGTGGAGTGTGAGCTATGGGATCTGGGCCGTGCCGAATGGCTCCTCCAGGACGCGGAAGTGCCCATCCCCAGATATCTCGGCGCAACACGTACGCCAGCACTGCCGACTGCATACAGCCTTCTGACGGACGACGGGCGGGCGTACGTCATGTATACAACGAGCGCGCTTGAACTCTTCAAGCCTGATGCGAGTTGCTCAGCCAGCACAATGCTAACAGCAGCGGTCACATGCTTCCGGTGCGAGCTCCAGCGCAAGCTCGGATCATCACTTGCCGCTTCCACGGCCGAAATACTCTGGCCAGCTGCTCTACCCCCTTCCTGCGCCCGGAGTGGAGGGGGTGCGCAACGGGCTTCGGAGTCTGGGGCTAATCGAGGATGTTGCGCCAGTCGAAGACAAAGCGACACATATCGCAGTGAACGGGAGGCTGGGTTTCGCCGCAATTGGCACAGCCAGTGGACTGGTGCATATCCATGTTCTCACAACGTACCCGCAGACACCGCGCTTCTCGCACTCGCTCGATTTAAAGCGGTCCGCGCGCTCGGCGAGCCTCAGCGTCGATCCTGGCGCCGTCACCGCGCTGGCATGGACATCGGATGGGTACGCCCTCGCGGTGGGACACGCGCATGGGTGGGCTGTGTGGAGCATGGGTGGCAGGTTGGACGGATACGGCGTGGCTGGGGACCACGACGAACCTTCCGCTGACGCATTCATGAACAGCGTTAGCGAGCTGTTCTGGGCTCCAGGGAACACTGATCTATTCCTGCTGTCCCGGCTCGACCCGCAGAGACTTTATGCCATGCCGTTCGTCAAGAGTGCCACAACTGGTCAGCATTCTCCCGACAACACGCGGTACGCATTTCTTCAGATGGACGACCGCGTGATGGTGTACCGGGGAGCGGATCAGCCCGACATGAGCGTCATCAACCCCGAGAGCGATGTATGGCAGCACATCCACGTGCCGAACGTATACATTGCGACCAACTGGCCCCTACGATATGCCTCCATTTCCTCTGACGGTCGCTTCATCGCCGTCGCAGGTCGACGTGGACTTACGCACTACTCGGCCGCGAGTGGTCGCTGGAAGCTTTTCGGTCACGAGCGCGAAGAGCGCGCTTTTGCTGTCCGTGGCGGCCTCCTCTGGTTCCACCACGTGCTCATCGCCGCCGTTGAGGTTGAGAAGAAATACCAGATCCGGTTATACTCGCGCGACCTCGATCTTAGCGAGACCAACGTGCTGCACGCGCAGAGCCTGCCATCGCCCGTGCTCGTCATGACGCTTCTCGACAACAGCTTGCTCGTGTACACGGCCGACAGCATGCTGTACCACTTCCTGATTCTACCGACGCGCGAGAGCATCCGCATCCAGCTGTGCGGGAGCATGAGCTTCGCGGGGCTCGTAAGCGTGCCCAGCCGCGTGCGCGCGTTGTCCTGGCTCATCCCCGAAGCGCAGAAGCGCCTAGGCGACCCGGCCGACGATCTGATCGTAGCGACGATCATCTTTCTCGTTGACGGGCGCCTTGTTCTCCTCCGCCCTCGCAAAGCGGGTAACGACGAGGTCCGCTACGACATGCAGGTTCTCGCGGATCGCATCGAGAGCTACTGGACGCACCTGCACGGCGTCGGTACGCTCGAAAATTCGCTCTGGGGGTACGATGGGCGGGATATGCGCGTGTGGCTCGACGCACTCACGATCGAAGCGACGCGCGTTGACCTCGAGGCGGACAGTTACGAGAGCGTGCAGGCGAGCATCGCGCTGCGCCTTGACTTCTACCCCCTCTCCATTCTCATGGACAAGGGCATAATCATCGGCGTCGAGTATGAGGCCTCGACGCTCACGCTCCCCTTTGCCCTCTTCAAGCTCCAGACCAACACGTACCTCTTCCTCCCCCAGTTCCTTCGCTACCATCTGGACGCAAAGCGGCTGCGCGCTGCGCTCGCCTTCGCGGCCAACTACCACGGCCTTGTGTACTTTGGACACTCGCTCGAAAAACTTCTGCATGCCGTACTCGAGGACACGGTTGACGAGCTCGGCGACGGCGAAAGCGGGAGCAGCGTCGCCAGCTCGCGTAGCGGGCGCACCCTCGCCCTGGTCGCGTCGTTTCTCGATCATTTCCCTGAGAGCCTCGATGTCGTCGTCGGATGCGCGCGCAAGACTGAGTTCGAGCACTGGCCAATCCTTTTCGACGTAGTCGGCAAGCCCCGCGATTTGTATGAGCGCTGCGTGCGCGCCGGCGCGCTGCGTACTGCGGCATCGTACCTCCTGGTCATGCACTACCTCGAGGAAGCCGACGACACGCCCGAGACTGTCCGCCTCCTTCGCCTCGCCATGGCAGCAAAGGAGGCGCAGCTATGCAAAGAGCTTCTGCGCTTCCTGCACTCCATCGACGACTCTGGAGCAGCTCTCCGGGCCGCCATCGACGAAGTCGGGATCCTGAAGCCTGGACAGGCCACGCAGGCGAGCCCCGACAGAGTCAGAGTGGGTCCAATAAACGGCTCCATTGCACCCGACATCGGGCTCGACCTTGACGTCCGCAGTAGCTCTCTTTCACGCACACCAACCGCGTCAAGTCCCCACCCCTCCGTCTCACTGTCGTCCCCTGACCAGTGAGTGTTAAGTAACATTGTTGTACTACCATGCAGTGGCATCCTGTGCCAATATAGTTGCGCTGATGAGCTTGGCTGATGCGGGTGGAAATTGATGCAAGTCTATGGACGATGGACATGGAGTGGATCTGCGTCACACGGAAGCCTTAGGGAAGCATAACGGCTGCGGTCAGTGTTGCAATGACTGCGAACTTGCCATCAGACGTGCCTACACCGCGGTCCACCATGGGTGCAAACACGCGCTTGTACACGAATCGCTGGTCGTATTCGCGCATGACCTCAGCCGAAAGGAGCATGCGGTCCTTGACGAGCTGGGTGAAACAAGCCGCAAGGTGGGACATGACTGCAGCCGCAATGGCGAGGACCAGTGGGGTGAGGAACGGGTGCTGACGCGTGAGGAAAGAGGCGATCAGGGGGGCGGTGGGCGGCATCGCACAAAAGAACGCTAGGCAGAACTCGGGCGGGTCCCACACACGAAGGCTCTGGATGCTGTTCCCGCGCATGGTGCCGGTCACAGTCGCTGGCGGGCGCGCCCCAACAGCGCCGAGGATCGAGCGATACACCCACTTGAGCAGCACCCAAAGACCTTTGGCCGCAAGGCGCGCAACCTTGTGCAGTGGCGCCTCGTCCGGCTCAGGCAGCTGATCGTCCGGTCCGTCCGAAGCGCGCACCTTTGGGGCAGGCACCGGCGACGCATGTGGACTGCGCAGCGGCTCTTTGCCAGAGCGCAACTGCATATCGTACGTGCGATAGCGGGTGAAGAGCCACGCGGCGTTTGCGCCAGCGAGCACGAACAAGAGGACGGTGTAAAGCATTGCCTGCCGTAAGCTGAGGATAGTGTCTCGCCTTACCACTCGGTACCCAGCGACTCCCGAGCGCGCGGAGGCGTCGCGCCGCTCCCACCGGTTCCCAATCGAGTCAACAACTTCGCGCTCGCCCTTGAGCACAGCCTCGGACTTGACCGCACGCAGCGGTGCAAGCAGCAACCAATGTACGACGTATAGAGCCAGCGCGATCGGGTTGGCCCATCTAGCGGGTGGAAGGACCTCCTCCACGCTGTTTGGGACGTGAAAGAGTGCCGTATCGAGTGCGTTACCTGGCGACTCCAAGATCCTGATGTCAGCTGCCGTCCATGGGTGGACTCACCGCTGCCAGAGGGCCTTGCGGCGTACGAAACGCGGCTTCTTGTCCGGCGAGCTTCCACTTCGCGTTGCAACACGTGGGCGGTCATTTACTTGGCGTGCGGCAGCCGCCGACGCTGCCATGTCAAAGGGGATGGAGGAGGAGCGACTGAGGCCCGCAGGTGGGGTTGCGAAGGGCGAGTAAATGATGCGGTGCTGGCGCGGCGCTGGCGTCGGTGTGCCGCTCGCTGCGCCATCGGGAGAGTCGAGCATATGCTGGGCGGAGTGGCCAAGCGTGATGCGGCGAGAAGGGGAGTCACGAGGCGATTCGTCCCATGAATGTGCGGGGAGCGACTCACGCTCGCGCCGGCTGCGCCGTTCTCGGGGCGGCGTCGCGAACGCATTCTGGTCTGAGGAAGATTGGGGCTTCGGACTGGGCCCGCCGGCCTCGTTTAGGGCTCCAGCCGTAACCGAGCGTGAAAGCTGTGAGGGTGCGCGCGAGAAGGCCGAAAGCGACTTGCGCTTACGGGCGAGTGGTGACTGCGACATCGCGAGGGCGAGAGTAAGTGAGAGAATGGTGATCGTTGGACGCACAAGAGTTGTCCTGTATTGTCTTGTTGTCGACCAGCTCGGAATGCTCCCGCCATCACTGACGTCAACCGTGCAGGCAGCCGCTCTGGTTCGAACCAGCGTCCAGACGTTCGTTATCCAGTTATCGTTCTGAGGAGGACCAGAGAAGAGGTATAGATACTGATGCATTGTCTGCAGTTGCACATGCAGACCAAAGGTAAGACAATGACTATGCTACAATCGTGACGCGGTGTGGAGGCATCGACGATGCCAACGTGAGGAGATCATGACCTCAAGGCCCTGCAACGTCAGCAATGCCTTGATCAGCTCTCACTGTTCACATGTGGGCGAGGTTGCGAGGGTCGCAGTGTTCACTCGTCGCTGGTTGTGCCTTCCTTCTTACGCAGACGGCGGTCTACAACATCAGCATTGTTCCGGAGGTGTAATCAATACGTACTTTTGTTCTTGTTCTTGTTCTTGTTTTGCTTTTTGTTCTTCCCCTTGGTGGCCTTCTTCTTGTCACCAGCCACACTGCCCTCCGCAGTACCAGGAAGCGACGAGGATCCCGATACCGAGTCGTTGTCGATGCTGGCAGCGTGGGCGGCGATGTCGGCAAAGGATGGGGCCGGCTCGGAGTGAGCGAGCGGAGCGGAAGGGGCGGGCGGCGCGGCAACACCCTCCTCAGGTAGGTTGTCACTAGCCGATAGGGCGGGGAAGTCCTCCTTCGCCTCGGTGATGTCGTGGTGAGGCGAGCTCTCCGAAACCGCGGGAGCAAAGATAAGGGCCGGCTCTTCGGCCTGGGCCTCCTCATGATCGGCGGCCTTAGCAGCCACAGCGGCAAACGAGAGCTGAGCCGGCTCCTCAAGGGTAATATCCTCAGGCGTGGATTTCTCCGAATCGGGCCGCTCCATCTGGAGCGCTTCAGGAGACGTTTCTTTGGGAATCGCCTTCTCGGGTGTCCCCTCCTCCGTGGACTTCGAGGCCTGCGGCTCCGTGACAGCGGGCTTCTCCTCCTCAACCGCGTGGGCGGCGACCTCCGCGAAGGACATGGGTGTGGCCTCCTCATGTTTGGCTTCCTTAACCTCGTTGTCCACTTCCTTCGGCTCTCCCGTCTCAGTCTCCTCCATGTTGGAGTCCTTCTCTGCGGCCTTGGCAGCGATCGCCGCGAAGGAGGCGGCCTTGGCGGTCTCAGCATCCTTGTGCTGTGTGGTGGCGTCCCTGGGCGTTCCAGGCTCGACCAGTTTAGCAGCGAGGGTAGCGGGGGCTTCGGCGACGTCAGTCACCTCGGCGTCAGTCGAGGGGAGGGTCGAGTTAAGCGCAGGCTGCTCAAGAGTGTCGACGTCATCCTTGACAGTCTGAGCCAGTGCGGGGAAATCGCCCTTGCTCTCTGTTGTCGTGTGCTGAGGAGGCTGCTCGGCGACGACATCTGCGTAAGTGGAGCTAGTCTCCTCGGGCTTGGAGTCGTCCTCCAAGGTTTGAGTCTCCGACTCAGTTGCAGCCTCAGCCTCGACGGACTGGGGCTCAGCTACAGGCTCACCGCGAGCCTGGATCTTGGCGACCTCCTCCTCGAGTGCGTTGGCCTCCTTGGTCTCCTCGGTCAGCTCGGCGGTCTCCTCCCGGGCCAGTGTTGCTTCGAGCGTGGACGCGGCGGCCGCGTCCTCCTTGACCTTGTGCTCGTCCTCCTCCTCGGCCTTGATCTGCTCGACCTTGGGCTGGGCGCGAGACTGAACAGCCTCAACCTCAGACTGGAGTGCGGCGGTCTCTTTCACCTCTTCGGCCTGCTCCTGCTGCTGGGTCTCGGCTTCGTCACGCTCAAGCGCAGCCTCACCGGTGGCGACAGGTTGATCGTGGGCGACCAGTTCCTGCTCGACAACGGGCGGAAGTGTAGCAGCGACAGGCTCGTCCATGGACGACTGTTCCTTGGACGACACACGACTAAGAGGCTCCCCAGGGCTAGGGGGGGTCGGGGGGTGGTTGACCGTCGCGGCCACGCGCTCTGGGTCCCTGATGCGCTGAGGAGGGGTGGTGCGCCCGCTGCCAAGGAGAGGAAGCTTTGATGTCGCGCGGCGAAGGGCCCAGCTAAGAGCCTCGACGACGCCAGCGGCACCAGTACGAATGAGGCCGTGCTTGAGGGGGTGGCGCACGAAGAACTTGTGGAAGACCACAAGGCTACCAAGAAGGTAGGGCGCAACGATGCGGACAGTGTACAGCACAACTGAATAGGCGGCGGCAATCGCCTTGTTCTTTGGGGGGTGAGCCTCCGCGGTGACATTGGTGATTCGGTACTTTGCTGGCTCGGGAATGTCGGAGTGGACAGCCTGGCTCTCGTCGGTCTGGAGGGAAAGCTTGACGTCGGTCCAGCTGACAGGGATCTCGAAGCGGCGCAGTAACGAAAAAGGCCAAGGGGCATGAGCGAGTGAATAAACACCCTTCAGCGAGAAAGTCGCTGTCTTGTTGTTCGAGTCCCAGGTGATAGGACCGGGAACACACTTGTGCGCAAACGCGTTGTGAAGGTTAATCACGTCACGGATGCCGTCGGCACCCTGAACAGAGTTAATTGGCGTGGTGAGAACCGCGTCGGAAGTAAAGTAGGTAGCAACTGCGTCGACAACTTCGTCACTGAAGTTAGCAAGAACTGGAGTGCGGGCGGTGTTGCGGAAGGGGGATGCGCGCATGTGTCGCTGTTGAGACACCATACTGTCATTACAACATGCGCAATGCCTGACACAGTTGCGTCTACCGCCGCTGACTTGACCATGCTAAACCAGCAGCAGGCTTTCCGACGTGCTTTGCCGCTCAGACTCTGCACAGTTGTACTCACGCATCACTGGTGGTGAGATTCTTGACGAGGTCTGGAGTTAGCGTCAAGATGACGTGAAGATGATTGGGAAACTCGGGGAAGGGGTTAGAGCGAGCGAGCACGCTTGAGATGGGGCCAGCCGATACCCCTCGCCTTTGCGCAACGGGATACTCACCGTGGACCTGTGAATCAATGTTGGTGGCGTCCATGGCTGCAACAGCGAGCGATGGACGGTGGTGTGTGGATGTATGAGATGAGCAGGTGTGGAGTGTGTGGATGGGAGTGTGGGTGTTGCAAAGAGCAAGCACGAGAGCGAGGGGTGGGAGTGGGAGGGGAGGGAGATGGAGATGAATGAAGCGAGAGAGTTTATATAGCCAGTGTGGGACTGGAGGTCGAGAGGTTGAGAGGTCGAGAGGTCGAGTAGTCGAGTGCTGAAATGTGGAGTCGAATGTGTTGAGTGTGAGACAGCCAAAAGTCAAAATGCGGGGTGGCCCGGGCGCAGCGGTAACCGGCCGGCCACATGCCTGTCCCACCCACACCGTCCAATCCTCCGAAGTTCCGCACTTCCGAGACAACTCAAGCAGGGGGGGGGGGGGGGGGGGGGGGGGGGGGGGGGGGGGGGGGGGGGGGGGGGGGGGGGGGGGGGCGATTCTGTTGGCCACACAGCATTTGATATGGGCTACGGCATATGGACGCTATTAGAAATCAAGCGCGACATGAGTGTCAGGTGAATGAATGCATTGCTTTAGTTAGACTGCGTCATGGGTATTCATCCGCCATTGAGAGAGAGCCAACAGGCACGGAGCAGAGAAGTTCCAGGTCGTTGTGTGTGTGCTATCCTCATGAATTTGTCGAGGTCCGTGCCAGCCACTGCAGTTTGACTTACAATTCAAACATTGCTGTAGAAAGTATCTAGATGTGTGCATGGTGGGATTCGATAGAACGCAGGAGGAGATATCGCACGGATGAATACATTCGTGTTTGGGATACACGTCTCAGGCTTTGATGCCAGAATAATAAGCCTGGCTTTCGGCTACTGTGAATGCACGCACCTTGCTCAATACACAACGTCAGCGCAGCGCGAACTGCGGCCCAGACGAGCCCAAACAGCATTGCAAACCAGGAGGAGGGGGTGTCCAGGCTGTCGATTATTTGCTCCATGACGTTTTGAACGGTGACTGTTGTCGGACCTGTCGTCGGGGATGCTTCAGACTAGACAGCAGAATGCGGAAGCGGAAAGTGACATGAATACCCCAATGGTGAGTGGTGTCAGCTGGCTCTCGAGGTGATCTTATAGATGGGGGCACGCTCGTTGATGTTGAGCGTGAGAGGTGGGGAGCGCTTCACCCAGTCCTCGAAGCAGGGCTTGATCTCATGATCGTTGTCGCTCGGTCGAGTTGACGAATCGCTACTGGCACCTCGCCCCAGCTACATAAGGGGGATTGGATCTCCGTACAGTCAATGATGATGTCTAGGTCTGCCAGACATGAGTACCTTGTCCCACTGGGTGTAGTCTCTCGCCACGACAGTTGAGTTGAGGAGGCGAGCTGAGTGGAGCGAGATGAGTCGGGTTGAAGAAGGCGCGGTCAACGTCGAGATGGACGGGTGATAACGACGAGAAAGGAAGTGAGGTGGACTAAGAGCACGAGAAAGGTCACAATGGTGAGTAGGGCACGTATATTCCTCCCTCAATACAACTGCATCTGCACAAACATACACTACTGTGGGCTTTTTGAACTCATTATCGGAAACCGGTCTTGTACGTGATCACGGCCTGGGGAGTCGATGGACCACTGCGCCAGGAATCAGGAGTCTCGGCATGCTCCCGGCCTACAGAGTGTGTAGACCAGTAGGCGCGCGTTACGGGCGGCGAAGGTGAGACGTCAGTGTCAGATCCGGGTGAGGGGATTCGTCCCCGGCGTCGCTGTTGGCGCTCCGGGGGTCCGCCACGATGAGGTCGCCTTGCAGCAGTGCGGTACTCGGCGAGGTAGTGGACCCGAGGGCAAGTCCCGGGTCGAGGTTGTTGCCATAGAACTCATTCCCGTCGGACTCGCTCCAGTCACCCTCCTCGCTGTTGAGCGCGGTAAATTGATTGGGCGGAGGAGGGAAGGAGATCAGGTAGCTGAGGCGGTTTAGCATAGCCAAGAACACATGCTTACGCTTCCGCGATGTCTGCGACATCTTCTACCATTCCTGTGACTGGAGGAGGGGGAGGTTCGTTTCTGTCACAGGTCAAATCAGATCAGTGGGAGCTCGGAAGCGGAAGCTTGTGGTGTTGGTGGTGTTGGTGCTGTTGGTGGTGTTGGTGCTGTTGGTGGTGTTGGTGGTGTTGGTGATGGTTGTTAACGGTGTTGGGAGTGTGGGAGCAGACCAAAGCCGGGTCAAGCAAGGACGGCGTCATAACATGCTATCGAACGCCGCGTTGCCGCGTCGCCGCGTTGCCGCACAGTAGAGACGGAAGATGCGCATTCAATTGATCAAATTGATCTCGTTCATCAACGAAACAACATGAGATCAATTTACCCCGCATTACGTAACTGCCCCGCCTCAGCTTGCCCGACTCGAACTAGCGGTGTGCGCTTGACCAGCTAATAAGACGTCCATTTCGTCTCTTGTCCATTCTCACCTCTCTTCAGCGACTATGCTCACTCTCTCGCCAACGCGCGTCCTCCCAGCGCTCGCGCGCCGTGCATTCTCCTCCTCTGCTGCGATGCGTGCCAAGGGCCCGATTAACAAGGACCACCATGTGCTGGAGTACAGCGCTGACGCCTTTCCGCTCGGCTACGGCGTGGCCGGCACGCACTGCGGGGTGAAGAAAAAGGCTGGTGTGCTTGACCTCGGTATTCTCGCCTCGACTTCTGAGCGCCCCACTGCCGCCGCCGCGTGTCTCACGCGCAATGTCTTCAAGGCCGCGCCCGTGACCGTTACGACTGAGCTGCTTGCGCAGGGCAAGGGGCGTGCGCGCGGCTTTGTCGTCAACTCTGGCTGCGCCAACGCGGTTACCGGCAAGAAGGGTCTCGCAGATGCGTGGGCCATGTCCAATGCACTCACCGACGGCCTGCCCGAGAGCTCGGCGCGCGGCGCCGGCTCGCTCGTCATGTCGACGGGCGTGATCGGCCAGCACCTCCCGATCGACAAGATCACGTCCGCGATCCCCGCACTTATCGCCGACCTCCACTCGACGCCCAAGGCGTGGCTTGACCTCGCCAAGGCCTTCATGACAACCGACACGTTTCCGAAGCTGCGCGCACGCAGCTTCGAGCTCGCGGGTCGCACCGTTCGCCTCGCCGGCATTGATAAGGGCGCAGGCATGATTGCGCCCAACATGGGCCCGCCCGGTCCGCCCCACGCGACGCTCCTCGGCGTGCTCGCGACCGACGCCGCGGTCTCTCCCGCCGCCCTCCAGGCCGCTCTGACGTACGCGGTCGACCGCTCGTTCAACAGCATCTCGGTTGACGGCGACATGAGCACAAACGACACGATTCTCGCACTCGCGAACGGCGCGGCGTCCCCTGATCTCGCAGAGATCACCGAGTCGTCCCCCGAATTCCCGGTGTTCCGCGAGCAACTCGCGGACTTTGCTGCTGAGCTTGCTCAGCTCGTCGTGCGCGACGGTGAGGGCGCGACAAAGTTCGTGACGGTTCGCGTGCGCAATGCGCCCAACTTTGCGGTCGCCAACACGGTCGCGCGCTCAGTCGCGAACAGCAACCTCGTCAAATGCGCGATGTACGGCGAGGATGCGAACTGGGGACGGATTTTGTGTGCCACGTGAGTGTGCTGACAAAAGCTCAGCGTAGCGTTGGGGAGAAGAGCACGAGACGCTCACACCAGTGGGTACGCCGACGTGCCGGCAGGTGCGATCGACCCCTTCCGCGTCTCGGTCACGTTTATCCCTGCGCCGACTTGCGCGGACCAGACTCCGCTCCGCCTGCTCACGAAGGGCGAGCCCGAGCCTGAGATTGACGAGGCGCGCGCGTCCGTCATCCTCGCCGAGGAGGACCTCGAGATCGACATTGACCTTGGGAACGGCGACGCCGAGGCTCAGTTCTGGACGTGCGACTTCAGCCACGAGTATGTGACAATCAACGGTGATGTAAGTAGCAGTGGAAACGGGCAGGCCATGTCCATTGTCCGCTGGCAGCTGACAATAGTACCGCTCGTGAGAGTACCGCTGGTAAACGTACTGCTCGTAAGAGTGTGCCTGGGCTTGTATGCGACTGTTGGGATTTGGCTGGGGAAACGAGGAGGTGACTGACAAACAATCTAACAGTTTTGATGGTGGCGAGTGATGGCGAGGTAATGATCAGTTTTCATGTCCATGGTCCTCCATGGCGCGAAACCTTCATGTGTACAATGGACAGCGTGCAGCGCCGATTGTTCCACACCACCTCTCGCAGGCATATCAAGCAACGCTGAGCATGCGGATTGATGCCCCACTGCTCCCCAGTCACTATGGCCGCCCCCGCGCCTACCAACGGTTCTTACGAGAACGCAGTCACCAACGGCGATTCGGCTCAGGCGAGCGGCGGTGATGCCCCGACGGCGACGCCCCAGCCCGCTTCAAACATCCCTTCAAGCGTGCCCGGCCCGAACAGCTACACGGATTATCGTGGCAGCTCGTACCTCGCGAACGCTCGCGACAGCTTATACCTCGCCAACATTCTTAGCGGATCGCAGAGCAGCGCCACCAACGATGCGGGCGCCGACGACTATGCCGCCAATGTGAGATATCCAGCTGATGGCGCTAATTCAGGCCGCGGCGCTCGCTGCACTTGTAGAGCACCGCAACGCACTTGTGCTGTCGCCCGCGCCGTCGGACCCTTCGACGCCGAGCAGCGCCTCGTCCACCAACTCGGTCGGCGACTCGGACTCGGACAGCAGAGGCCCGACCACTCCCTCCTCCGCCGCCATCGCCGCAGTCGATGCCCGCGCCCGCGCCTTTGCGGCCTACAAGACGTACCTCAACAAGCTGATCGAGGCGCGCCACCGCCTCGCGGTGCTGGTGTACGAGCGCCGCACTCGCGCCGTGCTTGCGCACAATGCGACGTGGACGCACCACATCCACCGCGCGGCTGAGGCGGTCGAGGTCGCGCGCATCGGATACGAGGCGATGCGTGTCGAGATGGAGCAGCAGGGATTTGTGATCTAGTTGCGTCAGCAGAGCTTGAAGCGATCCGTACACAAGTACGTAGACATGCATTTAGTAGCTCCTGGAGGTCGCCAAGCCGTGGTGCCTGGCTGATAACGACGATGACGTGATACGGGGATGCGCGTGTGCATGCCGCGTGGGCATGTGTCGGTAGCAAAGAAATCAACCTCGCTGATCCAGGCCGAACTAGAAAGCTGGAAACCACCCCGTCCACGGTGATGGCCAACTGCCCAATGGAATCGGGTAGAGTTGGACACACCAGCGAGCTGACGGACTGAGCGTCAACATCCAGAACTGCGATAGGTGATACGGGCTCGCGCTCAAGCCACGAGGCGGCGAGGCCGGCCCACGACGCGTCGACGCGTATCACGCTTTTGCCACCGGGCGACCCACCTGATGCAGTTGACCCTCGGTGGCGTCGGCCCCGTGCCCTTGCATCTTCCCCTCTCTCTCCTTCTCTCTGTCCTCCTCTCTCGGCCGCCACCACTACTCACCGCCGTCACACTCTAGCCGTTTGCGCCGTGCAGCGTACGGCATGCGGCACGTATCCTTGGACTGTGTCACACTCAAACGCATGCCTCAGGGATAGCGTCGAATAGTCTCGGGCGTGGACTCGGAGGATCAGAGGACTCACAGGACCGAGCGGCATGGGCGGGCACGAGGGGGATAGCAATGCACAGACCGTGCGCCACGGTGAGGTCGGGTGGCCTGTTTGATGGCCTGCGCGGCCCGTTGGACAGCCGCACCCTGGCATCCGCTGGGTGGCCATGGGTGGCAACAAAAGGCTCGGGGCGTGAAGAATAGACCTACCTGAGATGCGCTAGATGCGGCTTGCGACTCGACGAGGTTGCTGAATAGTCAGAGTGGGAGGCCAGCAGGCCAGCAGGCCAGCAGGCCAGCAGGCCAGACGGGTCAGACGGGTCACGCTGCACGGGGATGCGGGCACTGCTCTCTCGCGAGCTCGCTCTCGTTCTTTGGAGGTCTCCAGGCCTCCAGGCGATCGCAGGCGAGCCATTGAATGAAAGAGAGTTGCCAAAACAGGCTCGGTCACCATACACACGGGACGCCTTTCACACGTACGCAGGTACGCAGGTAGGCAGGGAGGAAGGAAGGAAGGAAGGTGGCTCTCTCTCTCTCTGCTAGCTGCTCGACTGGATACATATAATAAGCCTCCCTCCTGTTCTCTTTCACCTTCTACACACTATTGTCCCATCGCCGCCTCGCTCTCTCACTCTCTTTATTCCATTACTCTACTCGACACCACTCTCTACCCCCCATTCCTCGCGGTCATGTTGAGTCCGTTGTCACATAACTCGCACAGCTGATGCCAGAGACCCGCGCCCAGTCAGTCGTCAAGGCTTTCGCCAAAAAGAACGAGCCCGTTCTCGACGAGAAGGCCGGCATGCCCGCTCCCACTCCCACCTCCGCCCCCCCGCCCGTCGCCGAGATCCGCCCCGCCGTTGAGCCCACCGACGCCAAGGAGGACAAGAAGGAGCCCGAGACACTTGAGACCTCCGAGGGCACTGACGAGAAGCCCAAGTTCAACCTCCGTGCACTGTTCGCTCCCAAGAAGAAGCCCGCCGAGTCCCCCGCTGAGGCCGAGACCGCGCAGTCCGCCGACCCATTCGCCGCCCAGACCAAGGACGCTGTCACCACTGAGGCTCAGGCTCAGCCCGCCGAGGCCTCAGCCGTTGCTGCCGCCGACACCCCTGTTGAGGCTGATACTGCGACTGAGGCTGCCCCCGCCACCGAGGAAGGTGAGAAGAAGAAGGGTCTCGCCCGCATCTTCAGCCTCAAGCGCAAGCGCGCAGTTGACTCAGCCGCCCCCTCCACCACCGAAGCCGAGCCCGCCACTGAGGTGTCCGCATCTGAGGTCGCCGCCACCGAGACCACACCGGCCGCCGAGGCTGCTACCGAGACTTCCGCCCTTCAGCCCCCTTCCGAGGCCGAGTCCAAGCGTGCTTCGTGGAAGCGTCTCCGTCTTTCGCGCACCATGTCCGGCACTCCCAAGGAAGACGAGGAGGTCAAGCTTGCCCGCACCCAGTCGCCCATCATTGAGGCCACCGCCGAAACTCTTGGTGCAGTCAATGCTGAGCCCGTCGAAGAGAAGAAGGAGAAGAAGCTCTGGTCCTTTGGCCGCAAGGACGAAGTTGTCGCTGAGCCCGAGGCCGTCAAGCCTGCCGACGCCGCCGCTCCCGTTGAGACCTCCGAGAAGAAGGACGACGCTCCTGCTGTTCCCCCCAAGCCCACCGTCTGGAAGCGCTTCATGTCCATCTCAAAGATCCCCGAGCCCGAGCAGAAGAAGGAGGAGGATAAGATCAACAAGCCAGAGGAGGCCACCCCCGCCCCCGAGGCTCCAGCCGTTACCCCCGCAACTGACCCTCCTGTTTCCGAGTCCCCTGCCGTTGCCGCAGAGTCCCATCCCGCCACCGAGTCCCCCGCCGCCGAAAAGAAGGGATTCTTCGTCAACTTCACCCGCAAGTCCCCCAAGGCCGAGGCGACTGACACTTCCGCTACCCCGCTCGCCCCTGAGGCCAAGGTCGAGGACGCTGAGGCTGCCGCACCTTCCTCTGCCGCCGCTCCCGAGACTGAGGCTCCTGAACAGAAAACCAGCGGTCTCTACCGCATTTTCTCGGGCCGTCGCAAGAATACCAAGGCTGAGCCCAGCGCGCCTTCCGTTCAAGCTGAGACCGTTCCTGCAGAGACCACCGAGGGGAAGGACGGGGCTAAGGAGGATTGCACGTGCCCAACTCCCAAGGAGGAGGCGCCTGCGACTGAATCGTCCATCTCTGGTCTGCTCCGCTTCTTCTCTCCCCGTGAGTCCTCTCCTCGTGAGGCAGCCTCGGCCGCCGCCGTTCCTTCCGAGACCGCCCCGAAGGCGGAGGCCGACCCCGAGACGCCTGCTACCGCGCCTATCGCCGAGGCAACTGCCGACACCGCTGTTGAGGTGCTGAAGGACGACACGAGGAAGGTTCCCTCAGAGGAGACGCCTAAGGTCTGGAAGCGGCTTCTCTCCGTTCGCAGAAAGCCATCGGCGTCACCCGAGGCCGAAACTTCTGTACCCGCCGCCGCTGCCGCTGCGCCGGCACCGTTCACTGAGGCCGCTGTCACACCCGCGGAAGAGGTCAAGGACGAGAAGGCCGGTCTCGTCACCCGCCTTCGCGCACTCGTCCCCAACAAGGAGAAGGCTGCTGTTACCGAACCCCCTGTGACTGAAGCGTCGACGGAGGTAAGAAGATCAGCGAACGCATCAGCTAAGCCCAGACCGCTGAGAAGACTGAGAAGCCCAGCGTCGTTGCGCGAGTCGCCTCTGCGCTTTCCCGTAAGCCCGATCCTTGTCCGTGCTCATGCCAGTGACCCGTGCCAAGTCGCCGACGCCCGCTGAGACCGCCCCGGCTGCCGAGGAGGCCAAGCCCGATGAGGCTGCGCCTTCCACCACCGCCAAAGCGGTGACGTTCGAGGAGCCCGCCACTGTTGAGACCGCTGCACCGGACGCCACGCCTGTTTCTGCGGCCGCCGCGCCCGCCGATGCTCCCAAGGCGTAACCGCCGCGCTGTGCTTTGTCCGGCCCCACTGTAAAACCTCTCCGCCCAGTCGTTTGACACGATTCCTCCGCTGACCATGCCGACATAGAGATCCGTACCTCCTTCGCCCCCTATACTCCCATAATCCTATAGCGCCCTAATGAATGCAGTCGGATCCTGTGGCCTAGCTTGGGGTTTGGGCGCATCATCTCCCCGCCCGTGACGCATTGCTTCCCGCCTCGGCACCTCTCACACGCCGTCACGCGAGTGACCATCAAGAGAATAAGTTGCACCCACAACAGGCCATCAATGATACCATGCAGCAGGGATGTCGAACCACACAACCCGAAGCACTTCAGACGCGTCGTACCATGTATCATCCGAAGCGGGGCGACAAGTTTGTGTAATTCCTGTCTAGTCCATTTGCGCCGCCATGGCGTCGTCTTCCGCAACACAAAAGCTGCGCGCCGTCGTGCGAACTCCTCACATCTCACCACTCTGCACCGCATAAGCATTCACCTGTCATGTCCTTCTCGTCCGCCTCGACCTCCTCGCCACCAACATCGCCCATCATCCCACAGGGGGCTCCCACCAAGACCAAGCCCGCAACCCCGCACATTTCCTCAGCCTCGCCACCTACCTTCCCCTCATCCTCCGCCTCTGCCTCTTCTTCCTCGTCCTCAAACGTCTCCGGCTCGAGCCCCCCTCCCTCTCCGTACACCTCGCTTTCATCGCGTCTTAGCTGGATTGAGCGCATCACTCGCTCCAAGCCTGACTACTCTGCTCAGCGCGACTGCGCCTGGGCGGCCGAGATGGACCGCCTTCTCGCCCTTGTGGACGCTGATACGCGCGATGAAAGTCCCTCTGCGGGGTGTGGCCCGGCCTACCCCTTCCGACGCTAGTCAATCGCTCGCATCGCCTCTCGTCGCTCGCAGCTGCCAAAGTTCAGTCATCCAGTCCATCAGGTCGACTCCTATGATTAGCGCCATCATCATGGCTTCGCGCGCACGATTGCACTCGCAAATCCGTTCGCTCCCCAAACTCACTTTCATACAAAATGACTCGTCCCTTGACCAGACGGCATGCCTACATCCTTCGCTTAGCTGAAAATCACTGTCCAGATCTATGACGCCTGACTACACGCCACCACAGGAGAGCCAAGCGCCTCCTCGGCCACTGGCGAGGACACGGATTCCCACACAATTCCGCTCACGCTCGTTTCCGCGCCTCTCGTCCCCGAGTCGCTGGTCGATCTCACCCTCGCCCTCGCCCTCACACCCACCACCGCCTGCCCGCGTATTTCATCCTTCCTCTCTCCCCCGAGCACGCTCCGTCGGCCGCACATACCGACCCCCACCCTTGCCTCCCTCGCCGCCCATGCCGCCTACCATCCGCCCACTATCTCAGGCTTCCCGCAGGTCAAGGTCAAGCTTCGACTCCTTCGAAGCCGTGTCCGAGCTTGAACCGGACTCTTCCAACTCCTTCGTGGCAACTTGGACTACCACTTCATGGCCGCAAAACATCAGCCCCTCAACATCGTCTCTGATCATAGCGCAATCCCCTACGCCTCATGTCGAGCTCGAGCTCCATGACACTCTGCCTGAGGTTCGCTCTCGGGAGACTCAGCTAACCGCAGCTGCGCGTTGTTTCGCCTACGCCCCAAACCACACCCGAGGCCCACGAAGCGGATGGGGCAGATTCCTTATCCCTAAGCGACGCGGGTGAATCCCCTGCATACGAGGCGCACCAGTGCGTCTCGTGCGCCGCTCTTCGGACCGAAGTACGCCATCTCCGTCTGCAGGAGACGGTGTGGGAGGACCAAAGACGGGCGTGCGAGCTCGAGCGGAGGAGTATGGTGGACGAGCTTGAGCAGCTGAAGGATCACCTTCGCCGCGCATTGGGATTGTAACACCGCGATCTGAGGTTGTAACCTGTACCGTCTGTACTTTTTGTCAAACGACGCTGTTGCCATTGTCCACTTTATTGCGAGAACGTCAGGAGGAGAGTGCTCCGAAGGGGGCTCAGAGGAGACCGGCGGCAAAAAGCTCTAAGGAATGCAAAACGGCGCGATGAGTCGATACATCGACCCATCGGGATGGGACCGAAGTCCCGAACTTGTGAGAGAAGTGTTCCTACTGGAGAAGGGGTTTGCTACGCCGCTGCCTACTGTTAGCAAATCACGTTATATAAGCCATTGATCGGGGACATTGATCTTGTTCTCTAGCTTTTCTGAGGCTTTTCTGAGGCCATGCAGTGGCTGACTCCTGCAATCGAGAACGCGCATGCACAGCAGCAGAGAACCTCCTCCCGAGGGAAGCTGCGGATGAGTCGAGTGTGGGGTTGTATACGGAGCTTCATCCCTCAGCGAAGCCCGACAGCTTCTGCCCAACTACCTGAGTTTAGCCTTTCGAGAGTCCAACGAGGCCAGATGTGTTCTGTCAGTGCGGTATTAACCACGTTTGCATCATTATCATGTCAAGACTCAATGCGCTGATGATGACGATTAGGCCCCCACAATCGTCAATCGCCATGTTCTGCCGGGGCCTTGCCCATCTCCAGTAGACCTTGCGCACTGTGCAGCCAGCCATTCAACGTCGGTTCTAAGCCTGTCGCTCTCTCGCAATGCCTGCTCCCTGGGGACGAGAGCTTCCTTCGACGATATCGTCAGGGCGTGTAGCTCAGTTGGTAGAGCGTTCCATTCGCATGGTGATTTGGAAAGGTCTTTGGTTCGATTCCTAACTCGTCCACATTTAGTCTCTTTTGACTCGTCTGATGCTTGAGAAATGGATGGGGGCGCACAGATGTGTTTTGGAGCGTTGGACTGCCGACAGCCAAAACATCCGCTCGCTGCTGAAGGACCAGTAGTCTTGGAATATCCCTCTCCCCAGGCTGGAATTCATCTCTTGCATCACGCACCTTCTTGCATTGCCGTACGCACTGTAGCAACGCCGTGTCCTATGCCTCATACCCCGGCGTTCATCCCAAGTCTCAAGAGTTTCACCCTCGATGGGAGGCACTCTGGGTCGTATACAGGCCACGAATGCCCAAAATACATGCCCAAAAACCTGCCCCACACGGACTCGAACCGTGGACCTCGGAGTTGTTTCGAGTCATCGTAACAGCTCCACGCGCTAACCTACTGAGCCATAGGGCAGTTGATGACGTTGAGAGCCGGGCAGCCGTGGCGGGCCGGGCTGAGAACCCCCAAATCTCTCTGATATTCTCTTGTGAGGATTGACGCTGGGGAACACTGGATCGTTGGGCTGTGTGGCTGGCGACTCAGTGTGCGACAAGTCATTTTTCCCTCCGCCCGATAAGGAGCGCGTCACACGCAGTAAGACACACATCCTCGCCCGTTCATTGCAGACATTTGAGGCAGCCGTCCCATACGTAGGGCTTGCACGAGTCGGCAGGAAGGGAAGACGGCGTGCACAGTGCGAGCTGAAAGATTGCTGACAATATTCTTAATGTTTAGCAGAATGAAACCGTCGGTGAAGTCGTCTACATATTCACGACTCTCGCAGAGGAGATTTCTTCAGCGTTCGCAGCAAAGATGGAAGAAAACGGAGCTAAATGGCATAGCTTTTCCGCCCTTGGCGGTCAGATCAAGGCACCACTCTTCAGCGAGCATGAGGATGAGCTTCAAACGCGTTATCTCCTTCCGCACACGCACATGACACACGCACATGACAACCCACCCCCACAAGCACAGTTCACACTTTCCCACAACTCTTGCGTCACGTCGCACCGCTCTCGCTTTCTTCCAAGCCTTTGTCGGAGTTCCCATCCGTTCCAAGCTACTTTCATGCCTCAGTCGAAAGCTATAAGACGCCCAGGCTGTCCCAAAACGTTCTTACAAACCTTCCGATCTCCATCTCAACCACCCAGTGCCGAAAACTCAGCCCTCCCGCACAGAAAATCGCAGCAAACATGGCCTCTGTTAACCCCGGCTCTACCCTCAAGTCGTCCCCGCTTGGAGGCCTCATCAACCACAGCCGCAAGGTTCATGTCGATACGGTGCGCGACTGCGAGCCCCCCACGCTCGATAACAGCGATCATGGCTTCTCGCCGTCGTCCCAGGCCTAGGCGGTAGGTCAATCTTCCAAGCTCGTGCTCACCCTCCAGCCTGAAGCTTAGGGCAGCACGCTCCCAGTGGGTCCCACCCTGTCTACCATTCGTAAAATGTGTTCGTCATGCATTGCCCACTGCTGCAAGCTGCTTTCCAACCTCCTGTTCTAAACCCCTTCATGTTTCCACCTGACGCAGATAACATGCAGGGACATGCGGCCCAGTAAGCGAATGAAACCACACATTTTTGCCGCTTGCTCCACGACCTCTCCTCCACCCACTGCACTTTCTGGTGGTAGACATACCAGCGCCAGCCTCAAGCCACACAAAATACGCTGCGCGCACTTGACTTGTGTCATTCCAAATGCTCCACCCTTGTCTAGTGCTGGTCCGAGCATGTCGGACGTTCTTGTCACCTGCCTGGTGGCCAGCCATTCTTGGCCCAAAACATGTGCTTGTCCCACCGCACGCCAGTAAACATGATATGCCACAGGGGAGCAAGCATTCTGCCTTTCTATTCTTTCTCAATCCATCCTCTCCCACCTTTGACTAATATGAGCCTCCCCTCTTTGGCTTATCTTCGCTCGCCGACGGTAAGTTCCTCCTCAGCCACTCTGATATTAGTACTATCAATCGACCCCCGCTACCCCCATCGGCTTCGTGCAAGTTCCTGTGCCTGTGCAGATGCCGGTGCCTGTTCAGATGTCAGTGCCCGTGCAGGTATCAGTGCCGGTGGCCATACCGGTGCAGGTGGCATCGCCTCTGCGCTCACCTTCCCACTTCCACCCGTCCGGCACCGCGTTCCACACCCCCTGCACTCCAACGAGGCCTAATGCCTCACCAAGTAGCTGTTCTTCCAGTTACAGCGAGGACTCCCCCCGCCGCCCCGCCTGTCATGGCACCGCCTACTGCCCATTCGAACCCCCTTACTACTACCCCACCGTATGCGAGCACGCTGCCCACCGCCACGGCCATCCCGATCCCTACCACTCTTCTTACGTGCCGATACACTTGCGGCGACCTCCCAGCCCTTCCCAGGCTAACGAGGAACCCAAGGTGAAGAGCTTTAGCAAATGGCGCAAGCGCGTCACTGCGACAGGCTCCAAGGTCATGAGCAAGCTCAAGACCAAATTCGCCCGCAAAGATCGTCGCCCGGCCGCATACCGCCAGCATCTCGATGGCAAGCCATGGGACGGTCGCACGCGCAAATATTAGAAGGAGTACTGGAATGCGCTTCACGCTCAAGAATCCTGCTCATGCAGGCTTCGCCGTTCTCAGTCGAAGAAGACCCGAGAAATGCAGAAGCCCAGACCGTAGTAGGACCTTCAATATTACAATGTTATCTAGATATGTCATGAATCATCTGCACTTATAGGTGTCCACGGGTTAACACTTCTCAAATGCCCGCCCCTGGATATGGCGAACCCTCATGCACTGCATCGGCCAGCATGCCGTGAGCCGGCCAGTAGCGCAGAAACTCGCCGATAAGGGCGTCATCCATTGACGCTCCACCAGACTCGAACATGCCTTGTGACGCGGCGAAGCCAAGCGCATCGAAAGATGACACTGTCGGGTCACTGCCTAGTTGAAGAGCGGACAGCGCATCGTGTGGGGGAATGAGATCTCTGACTGGGAGAGCCGCGAGGGGGTCTTGAATTAGCGACTCGTCGGCCACCGGATGGGATATAGACTCTGCGGGACCAAGAGGCGAGAGATGTGAGCCTAACCCTGCCTCGATAGAGATCATGCGGTTGGGAACCGGAAGTATACGGGTGCTAGTTGACGCAGGTCGTGGGGCTGGAGGGTCAGGGAGTGGCGGGGCTGATGTCGAAGCTCCGGCGCCCAACAACGATACACTCGCGCCGTTGTCCGCGGAAGCGCCAACAGAGCGTATCAGACTATCTGCCAGCCCAGGGATTGTGGCGGTCTCAGCCTGTATCATGTTTCGGTCGATGCGGTCGATCTGTTCACGAAGTTTGGTCGCGAGGTCCCAGGGGGTAGGTCGCCCAGCCTCAAGTGTTCGGATAAACTCTGACAACACGAGCAGAATGTTCCGAACCTGTAGGTATGTCCAGGCTGGAAGGGGGCCGTCAATGACGCCCGACAGGAGGTGTCCAACGTGCGCGAGATGTTGGAGCTGAAGTTAATTCGACGAGGCATGGTTATCTCACTGTAGTAACGCTCGACGCCTGCAAGTACGACGCGGGGAGAGTCGCTAGTTCGTCCAGCAGCTCGCTCGCAATTGCGCAGCGGTGGTGCACACTTGAGCGATCACTGAGGGCGAGCATCATCTTTAGCGTTTGCGCCGTGATAATGATATTGGTCGCTCCCGTTAACTTGAGTTCCCCCTTTCAACTCACCGATGAAGCCTAGTCTGTCCAGTTCTATATTGCCCGTCATCGGCTTGACTCGTCGTAGTTCTGGTGGGAGGTCGTCCAAGAGGCGTGTGAGGAGCTTGAGCGCGGCGTGCGAGTCAATGTTACTCGCGCCAGCTAGAAACGCTGTAATGTGGTCTTCCTCATCATGTCCATCAGGATCCGCGCGCAGGTTGTCGTACACATGCTCAATCATGCGATACAAGTCCGAACATACGTTCCATCCCTTCATGAACGAGATGTGTCCAAGGCGCAGCGACACAGCCGTATCCGAAATGTCGTCGTCGTCCGCGTCGGCTGGGTAGTTTACGCGCGCACGAGCTTCTCTGTGTCTCGGTGGCAAGCTCAGTGTTGTTGACGTGTAATAGTCCGCCTGATATGCGAACCAGAACTGAAGTCAGTCATGTCGCGTCGTCACGGCTAGACATACCAGTCTACGACGCTCTTGTCGCTGTATTTCCGAAATCTCAGACGGCCAGTTCGCCTCGTCGTGAAAGCCTGCCTGAGCCGATATGATCGAGTATTCTCCGTAGTGTGCGAGTGCGGCTGTGCGATGCCCTCGTTGCATACAAGTGCATCCAAGAAGCGAGCGCGCCTTGAGCAATGGCAGGACGTCTATGGGTAGCTCAGCATCGACATCGCGCCGGACAGCGGCTACAGCTATTGTGTAGCATTCGGTGGCTAGCACGCCTGCACGTGCTTGAAGGGCAATGGGGATTTCGCCCGGCACGCCACCGTCGGCGAGCTTGCTGGCAGCCATGGCGCACATCGCAATGGTGACGATAAACACTCCCCAGTTGGAGCGATAGCGTCCGGCGCGTATATCCGCCATCATGCTTGGCCAGTGGATAAATGGGCGACTGGTATCAGCTTGTCGAAGACCGTGCTCACGCACAGCGGATACATGGTGCGGAGAAAAATGTCAGCGAGCCCCTCAACCGTGGCGCGGTCCAGCAGGTCGTCGTGTTGCCAAAAGGTGAGTGGGACTTCGAGGGGCGGCGAACTCGCGCTAGATGCACTGGTTCCTGCACCTGGCGTTTGGGGCCTGCGGAGAGATGCGGGGCGCGAGCGCGGTGACTCGCCGTCCTCGACACGGGCGCGGCGCGCCGGTGGCTGACATCAGCCTGAAGAGGTGGGCCGACTCACTCCACGCCGCTTAACCGGCCGATCGAAGGTGCAGGGTATACCGAGTTCGACGCAGCGAACACAGCGGTCGCCGCCGGGCGTGCGGCTGCACTTTGACCCATTCCGATGGCACTTGTCGCACGCGCGCTGGGTCAGAACGGCTCGCCAGTGACTCACCGTCACTCGTTTCCGCTTAGTCCCGCTGTCCGCTGTATAGGACATCATTGATAACAGATAGTTCGTGGAAAGACGGCGGTGTGCGCCGCATGGGCGGCGTGAGGGATGCTGCGTTTGCAAGATGAGCGATAGCTCGGAAGTGGGTATCGGCGCACCTCCGAACGGGCCGAGATGTGTGAGATGACGTCTGTTCAGCCGGTCTTGTTTGGTTCCGCCCTCCCTTCAGCCTCCTACCCCGCTACTCATAGCGCTGGCTACAAGCCTCGGGACGACCTCGACGCCGTCGGATTCGTGCAACGACTTTGAGCAAGACGATGCGTCAGCGCGGCCGTGGAATAGCACATTCACTAACAAATGACGAGGGACGACGAACGGACCGAAGTGTGGTGTTGCCTCCGAGACTTATCCGAGAGTTTAAAAGCCGGGAGAATAGCTCTGCTGAAACTGCTATTTCTGCGCATCTGGCGACGACGTGTGCAAGTGCGGAACTAGTAGCTGATAAACGACTGGTCTGTAGAAACGTGCTGCATGCTTTGAAGCAGGAAACGTGTCACAGCTGGGGGACCTTGCAACTTGCTGATGGTCTTCTCGCCTTACTAGCCTCCAGATCGTCACCGAACGTCACATAAGTCATGTACAACAACAGCTCGTTTCTTCGAACCGAGTTGGCAGGCGGAATAATTGATGGAATCTCATCTAGCGCTCAGGGGAGGGGGAGGGGGACTCGTCTCTGTATGCGGGCTCACTGCAGTCGACCTTGTCTGCAGTGCTGAAAGACATCCTGCGAGTGCAGTTGGTGCTGAGAGATGCCTCATTGCACACAACTTGGCGGTCAGAGCGAGGGGGAAAGGTGAACGTGTCCATCACTTTCCGCCCGTTGAGCCTCTCCAAGTCTTTAGATGGGCTGAACGGGCCTTGGGTTTGACCTTCTCCTTGGGCACGAGGTTTGATGCGGTCGTGCATCTGAAGGACTTCAATTGAAGGTGAGCCGAGCAGTTCGTAAACTGAGTTGAGGAAGTGGTTCTTGTCCTCCTCGAGCCACGGAAGACGCGCCTTCTTCACGGTCTGGACAGACACCCCTTCTGCAACGCTTTCAAGCTCGGAGACGTGCTGTTTTTCGAGCTCTTCAATAACGTCCGTGCCATCGGAGAGAAGCTCCTGTAGAATGTCGTTGTCGTGGAGAATTCTCGTGAGACGCGTCTTGACCATCCGCAGCTCCAGCTCGGCTTGAGACTTCTGCCGGCCTGCCAGTTTGAGCTCCTTGCTTAGGGCGAGCTCGCGCTGGGTGGCGTCTACATAATCGCGTGTGATGTCGGCGTTGGCGTTGCGGGCAAACTCTAGCTGTTGCTGCAAGACTGCTTCACGGAAGAGGCTCTTCTCAAGGGTCTTGCGGAGTTCGCGAATCTGCGTCAGCGGGTTTGGATGGACACCTACCTCGCACTCGCTGGACGTAAGGGAGCGGCTGTCTAAGTTAGACATAGTGGAGAGGCGGGTGTGGGAACGAAGTGCATCTGCTCCTGGCCATTTTATGTCCAAGATGGCGGTGGCAAGAAAAAATCGACACAGAGGGAGAAAGCGTGAGGCACACACGCTGTGGTTCTTGTGGAAAAACGCACCGCACAGCAGAACACGCGAACAGCTCGCAACTCCTACGGTGCCTGGCCACCAACGAGGACAGAGACATTGAAAGCAAATACTGACTATCAACAGCGTGTATCAATCAACGTGTGTAATATGTTTCTAGTGCTTTCGTTGCGTTGCATTGCGTGGTGAGGAGCGAGGCAAATCTCACTTCGCTGGGGCGTAGCGCATTGGTGTGGAGGGACAGATGGAAGAAGAACCTTAGAGAGTGCGACAACTTGGTCGTTAGAGTGATAATGACATTGGCCATAACTCACGATACGCCACCTGCCTCGGGCGACTCAGGTTCAACTGTCTCGCCGTCTGCATCTAGCTCCAAGGTCGAGGGGCTGGGACACGGCTGGCGTTAGGAACAGCGTTGATGGACTTGTACTCACTGCGGCCGAAACCTCCTGGCTAATCGGGATAGAGGGCTTTTGTGTGGGACTGCTGCGAGTGGGACCAATCTGTGGTGCAATAGGTCGAAATCGGTGCGGGGTGTTGCGGTGAGCAAATTTGAGCTGAGAGAACTGGGACTGTGGCAGGGGCTCTGAGTTTGACAAGACTGGCCGGCTGAGGGCATTGGAAGTCGAAGCAACAGCCTGGGTCATCTGGGGAATGGAATGGCTCGGCTTTTCCGCCGCGACCTGCGTCTCTCCCGCGGCAAAAATGTCATCGAGTTCGTCCATCCTGCCCCCCACCTTCTCCAGAAGTAAGAGGGAGGCTGCATGTACCGACGACATGGTGCTGATTAGGGTGGGGTCGTGGTAATAGGCTGTCGGATCATTGTTAAGGCGGCTTTGAAGCACGTTCCAGTCGAGCGCCTCAAGAAGAATGCGCACGCGCACGATGGCGTTGAGAGCCCAGTTCTTAGCCAGCGCAGTAAAGTTGGGGTCTGTGGTGGTGGGGAAAGTGCGCAGGTGCATTGACCAGACGGTGTTGGGGCCAAGGAGGTTGGTTTCCTGCAGTCAAACTCTGCGTAGGGAGCATAGGGGTACCTCCATGTGGCGCACCGGGCCGTCGTCCACTTGGATTGTGACTTTGAGCTTGGTCATTATGAGTGCTGGCGCTGTCAGATTTTTGGAGCGCTCATGTATCTATTCATTGGTGCTGACTGATGTGCTGGAGGCGAAGTGACGAGGTACACAACCACCATGATGGGTAGATCAGACAGGGGACCTGCATTGTCTTCGGCAACGCCGTTTGTTTGCTCGAGCGACAAAGTTTAGAGGAGCGACTGGTGTCGCATGCGGCGAGAGCATAGACGAGTGGCGAGAGGCACAGGCAAGACTGATTGCAACACAAGCGTGGCGTGGGCTCTAGCCGCTTCGTCTGACCCTCGCCATACTGTTTGACGATGCGGTCGGCAAGTGAAGAAGAAGAGGAGAGCACACTTGCTAGAACGATAGAACAGGAAGCGACTTTTGTGAGTCTATGTAGCATATGAGCAGAGTACAACAACACAAAGTTCAATCAATGTCCAAGTCGTGCCATGCGACGCGCTCGTCACTGGCAGGAAATGAACCAAGGAACCGATAGAGCGGAAGAGACGGGGTGGGGAGCCGGCGGGGGTGGGAGAGACGTATCTGCAGTACTAATACTTCACCTTGGGCGATGTCATCACGAACTGTGTATGGGCGAGCCATTGACGACACGCTCATGGTTGCTTAATCACTACCTACATTTGCCGAGGAACATAGGGTTCCTAGTTGTGAGTCGGATGGCTGTTTGCTTCGCAAGATTCCGACGGAATGAGCCCGTCGTCGAACAGCACGCCATCAGCGTAATCCTCAGTTCCGTCGTTGTCGTTCGGCGTAGTCTGCGTTCCGAAGACTTCAGACGGACGCTGAGCGCTGGGGCGTGACTCGACCTTTCATCAGCTCAGTTGAATGGGTGTGCTCACGGTCTGGCTCTCCTCGTATGCACCTGCATCGGCACCATAAGGCAGAGGAAGCGACTCTGCGTCTGGGGTAGGGGGCGGCTGGCCGGCGACTAAGTTCTGTGGGAAGTTGGATAGTTGCAGGGATGAAATCCTTTGCTCTTGCGACGCGCGATCAAGCGCTTCCTTCAGCCTTGCGATCTGGTCCTGCTGCTCGGAGATCAGCCGGCGCAGACGAGCGATCGTGACTTCGCTCTGCTCGATCGTTTCGACGCGGCGGCTAATCTCCTCCAGGCAAGCGTCGTGCACGGCCTGGCTCTCGTACTGGGCAATCCTCAGGGCCATGTCATGCTGCCGCTGTTCCTCCTCCATCTGCCGTTTGCACTGATACAGTTCACTTGCTGCGCCTCCAGCCGCTTCCCTTTGGTTAGCAGCTGCAAGTCGCTGCGCCATGTTGTCCCAGCTGAGCTTGAGAGTCATGAGTTCGTGCTCGAGGTGAACAATGTCGGTATAGCGCTTGGCACCCTCCTTCTCGCTTGTTTCGAGCTGGTCGCGAAGTAGCCGAATCCCGTCCTCGAGAATGTCAATGCTACGCTCGAGGTGGCCGACTTGATTGCGGAGATGACGGTTGTCTGCAACAACCGTCTTGACTATGGTGAGTATGAGCGGACGCAAGCGGGACAGGAAGGAAGAAGTGATAGTCGGACGCACGCCAGGCGATCACCTGATGGGCCGAGTCGAAGGTCTGAGCGACCTGCCGTCAGCAACGAGCTACCAAGCGTTAACGGCAGCGATGCGACCAGGAGAACTCACACCTGTTTTGATGGAGCGAGCGATCCGGCCGGCCATGATTATGAGGCAACTCGAGGAGGGCAATTGACAAGATTGGGAAGTGTGTAATGGTGAACGGAGAAGGAAGGTGAGATCATGATTTATATCGTCGAGCGCGTCGGCTCATTCAACCCTGGCACACCCAGAGCCAGTTACTGTCGAAGTGCGAGGGGCCATCACCGCAACATCTCAAACGTGGGAAGGAGGGCGCTGCTTCCACCTAAGATCCGGCGGCAGGGAGTGATCGATTGATGACTCGCGTGCGCAACACGGGTTGGACGATTGACCGCCTGCTCGCACTCACACGAAGCCTCGCGCTGTGCGATAAACACAATGTACATGTCACACTACTCACTCTGAAAACTCGAAGCTCATGCTCACGCCAACCTACACGACCTCCTCATGAAGGTTGTACCACTGTGCGACGTCCATGATCTCGTTGACGAAGTCGTTCAAGTCATCTTTGCCCACATCCTCCCACATGTCCCAGCCGAGACCATCGCTCTCACTCCCACTCGCAGAAGGAAGGCGGGGCAAACCCTGTTCTCGATCCTTGTCCCTCTTAGAGCGCCGCTTCTTGTGGGTCCGCCGCACCTTGGTGTGTGCGCGATGGGGAAAGGAGCGGCGCGGGCCAGTCGACTGGCGTGATCCCGCTGGAGGAAGGGGCATGAGCCGACGAAGCGCGTCGATCTGGGGCTGTGTGGTACCGCGCTGCTCTATGAGCTCCAACAGTGAGCCCAGAGCGCGCTCTTCGCTGTATCGAACCTTTGGACGCTGTTCGGGGCTCGAGGGACTTGAGTCTGTCCCTGTGGTATGGCTGCCGTCTGTCCCGGTGGTGGTTCCGTCCGTGGTCGCATCGCCATCGTCGCTATCGTCCGAGTGAGGTATGGTGATTGTGGAGAGCATGGTGGCGCGACGCGAGGACGGCATCTGCTGGATCATGTTGCGGATGGTGCGGACGGAGGCTGAACGCGAAACGCCGGTTGCAGTGACGGAGTGCACCGATGATGGACGCTGAACAGGGGGTATGTATGTCGAAACGGATGGGGACGTCTGCTGAAGGGAGGTCGTAACGCGCGGTGAGCTTGGTTCCTTGCGGAGCTTCGACAGCAAGTCGAGCAACTCCTCCGTCCCAGACAGCATCTCCTTTGTGAGCGCGTTGGCATTGACGACTGCTTGTGCGGCATGTCTCTGTGCGGCAGGATGCAGTTTGCGCAGCTCATCGTTTAGATTACGTCGATGCGACTCGGCGAAAGTGGTGGCAGTTGGGGTAGGTGTGCACGAATCAGTTGGACTCCCCTTCGGCGTCACATTGGAATCTGGGAAGGTGAAAAGGTGGTGATTTTGAATCTGGAAGTCTCCAAACGATCCAAAGGCTGGCAGCTGATACTGGTGGCGTGCGGAGATTCTCGCGGTGGAGGCGAAGGCGGTTTCCTCGAGCACCTCCTCAGAGTCATCCAGGAGAGCGTCGACTGTGAACATCATGCCATGACTGAATGGGAGAGGTAGCTGATGTCAGCATGATCGTGCATATTGACTCACTGGTTTCGCGGAGGGTGCTTGTGTGACCGACGCGCTCACATTGGTGCGGAATGCAGCCTCATCCGTGAGCGGAGCATCCGCTGGCGTGCGATGTCTTGTGTGTATGTGTATCCTCGATCTCGGGGCTGGTGGTGCCAAGCTCTGCAACTGGGCATCTCGGAGGCGGTTTGCGCGAGTATCAACTCTGCCATGGTCCTGGTGGTCCCGCTGCTGAGACTGAGAAGCGAGCCCTCCTTGCTGCCAAGTGTGATCGCTCCCTGCCCAGGTTGCGCGATATTCGATATCGGAATCGTGAGAGAAACCGTTCGCTAACGCATAGAAACCGCCAGAACGACGATTGATGTGGTTGGCTGTTCGTGATCTGTCGTGGACCAAATCAATACGACCATCCGATGAGGAGTGAGGCAGTAGCGGCCTCGCTGATAGATAATCAACGTCCTGGTTCGCTGGAGGTCGACTACTCGATGCACTTTCAGTCCCGCGGTGACCGTTGAGAGGACGGGTCATAGTGGCGAGCAGATAGAAGAGTGAGAGAGAGAATGACAAGGAGGCGAGGATATCATTGTTCACATGTTGCGACGTGCATGCCCCGAAGGACCTCCACCGACGCCACATGAGCTTAGGCCATGCGCCACCGTCGCAGCCACTACCCTGCGACAACCCGATTTTTTGACCGCTCCTTGCAGTCCGCAAAATTGGGATCTGGCATGCATTGCCGACCTACCAGCTGTTTCAGCTTCTTCGCGGCGTGGGCATGCGTGTTTGGGCCTGGTCAGTGCGCCGACACCAGGACACCATTGCTCACACGCGTGGCTTGAGGCGTGTCGGCGTGGCCGTACAGACCGTCCAGCTGCTCCAGAAATGCCTCTTCAGTGCGCGTCTACACACATGCATAAGCACGGAGCGCCGAGGGCCAGTCGTCTGTTCGGACGACAGGGGTTGGTTCCGATCATCGTTTGCGTGTCCCTTTAACGGCTCTGGCTTTAGTCTTCTCAGCAGCGGCTCGTTCGGCGGCTCGTTCGGCGGCCACTTCGCGTGCGCTGGTCGCCGTCATTGACTCCCATGTCTCAGACTCTTGGAATGAATCGCGCTCTTTGCGCTGATCGAGCGCATCGAGCTCGTTCGGATCGAGTAGAATGCTGGATGCAACTTTCTAGACGTCAGCGACAGAAGGAAAGAGGACTCACCGTACGCCAGCTGCGAATAGCATTGCTCTGCTCGTCAGGCATGAAGTAGCCGAGCTCCGGTTTTGGAGGCTTGATGGCTTCCCAGACTTTGGACGCAAACTGCGCCAGCGAAATTTTCATGGCGACCCCATGTGGTGAGGTTGAAGAGGGAGGATGGTACCAAGATGGAGCGTAATGTGCGACGAAGGGAGTGTTGTTGTTGTTGCGAAGACAAGCATTGAATGCCAGGGGGTCGGTGTCCCTTCGCACCATGCAGGGTGGTGGTGCCCCATCGCACGATTCGCGACCCAAGCATCTTGCAGCCTCTATCAAAGGATGATTCACCACGGCGCCGGGGCCGCGTTGCGCGCAGGCTGGGGCACCCAAGGCCGTGCGCCGTATGTCGGCGGACCAAGGGGTGCACCTCGCATGCCGCCGCGAGGTGCAAGTGCGCGACCGCGAACACCATATGAACCACGGATTGGCGCGCCGCGTCCCCGGTGTGGATGTCCGAAGCCGTGACCACCAGAATACGCGCTGTAGGCACGAGAAGGCATTGATTTGTCGAGGCGCTGGAGGACGTTGACGATCTCGTCTCCGCTCCACACCGACGGTGTATCATGTTGGCGCAGGGTCAGGATACGGTCGAAACCTTCGCCGGCGCGTGGCGCCTCCCATTCCCGGCGCATCCGCCCCAGAACGCCGATAGCCTGCGCTGGGTCACGCAGCGTTGGGTGGTCTGTACGTCCCTCCAGGCGCTCACGAAGAGTTTTGTCAGACGCTGTGAGGACGAGACAGCGAACGCGGGGTCGGGGGTTGCGTTCCATAGCGAGCTGCACGAAGTGTGCTCGTTGCCTGATGTCAGCTTGGCAGGGTGGCCAGCAAGCGTGGCGTCGGCGGCGAGATGAAGGTGACGATAGGAGTAAAGAAACGACGCCGAGGTAACAACGCGCGGCCTAGTACTCACTCAGGATTGAAATCTACTCGATCCACAATGACGTTTGCTCCGCTGGCCAGCGCTGCACGCACATCGGCTTCCACCTCCTGGCGCCGACCAGAGCGCGAGTCATCCTGACTCGTCCGGATCCACCTGCGACCAGTCCACCCTGGCGCTTTGGAGGCCGCCACAAGTGCGTGAGCGAATGTGCTCTTTCCGACGCCGGGGAGGCCTGCAAGGATGAGGAGAGTCTGGGGCTCACGGGGTGTCGGAGGAAGAGGTGGTTCTGGTATTGGTGGAGCCAGTGCAGGAGAGAGTGTGGAGGGGTCTGACTGCTGCCGACGCCATGCGAATGCACTTTCGGCTTCGAGAGGTGCAGTCTGATCGCTGTAGGGCGCTGAAGAGCCCATGGATGAAGAGGACAGTCGTTGAGATGTGTGGCTGTGGTGGATTGAGTGACGAGATGGGCGGAATGAGAATTGAAGGGCGGAGTTGAGCTGCAACAACAATCCAGATCTTGGAATCGCACAATCCTCCACTCGATCCCGCCTCCCGCGCACTCGCTCCTCCGCGCTCAGCACTCTCAATCCGCCCGGCATCATGAGCCAAGGGTTCAGTCGGTGTGTCTGCATGCTGCCTTGCGCTCGACTGCAGCATATGAGTCTATGAGTGCTGCTGACATCCAGCTACATTCCACCTGACTTTGACCCGCGCAAGACTTCCACGCTTAACGCGCACCAGGGCAAGAAGCATGCGCTCGGCAAGCGCGCAAAGGACATAGACAAGGGCGTTCTCGTTGTCCGGTTTGAGCTTCCTTTCAACATCTGGTGCGGAACATGCAATGTGCGTTGCCACCACAACCTTTTCTCCCTTCCTGCTGATGAACTGACAGCAGAACCACATCGGCGCCGGCGTGCGGTATAACGCGCAGAAGAAAAAGGTTGGCAACTACTACTCGACACCGATCTACGCGTTCCGCTGCAAGTGTCACCTGTGCTCGGGGTGGTTTGAAATCCGGACCGACCCTAAGAACGCGGCGTACGTGATTGAGGAGGGCGCGCGAAGACAGGACAGCGACTGGAACCCCGAGGAGCACGGAGGCCATGCGGCATGGGACACGGAGGGTGCACAAGCCGCAGCAGGAGTAGACCCGGACGCGTTTTCAACGCTGGAGAAGGACACAGACCAGGTCGCGACCGCACGCCAGACTAAGACGCGCCTTGACGAGCTGATGGCCGCGAGCGACCGCCTGAACGCCGACCCATGGGCTGTGTCGCGCTCGCTGCGAGCGCGTTTTCGCGAGGAGAAGAAGGAAGCACTTAGGCGACAAGACGCGCACGACGGGGTGCGCGAGCGCTATGCGTTGCACGACGGTGTTCATCTCGACAACGAGGAAGGTGGTGCAGGTGCCGAGTGGACTGCTGCACGACTCGGACGCGGGCTCGCGGCGGATGTCGTGAACAAGAAAGGCGATGTTGCAGAGCTCGGCGAAACGATCCGCACCAACACCAAGCGCAAGTACGATGCGTTTAGCGACACTAGTCTTCCACGGCGTGTAAGGCTACCGCGAAAGGCTTCTCCGCCGCCGATGGCGACAGATAAGAAGGCGGTCGGAGCGACAGGGCCAGTGTCCGCGCTCGGTGGACTAGCGGGGTATGGCAGCGATAGCGACAGCGACAGCGAGTAGATACCTCGACACACACGGGCTACCTCTAGTCTGCGGTTTGACTGCGCTACGGGACCATTGCTACCCGCCGGCTACCATGCGCCGATGCGCCAGAGGTCGTTATGAGCTCCCTGCGGCAGATACACCATCTCCTTTTCTGGCGTATCAATCGGTGCAACATTCGCATGGGGATGCGGACCGTCCGTTTGCCTCACATTGGGTCGCTCGCCTCGTGGTCTGGAAGGGCCAGACCAAGTCAGCAGACGATGAAGATGGTACGACCAGGGAGGAGGCGGCTTAAGACTAGGACGGCAGACCACGCAGCTCAACAGACCCGCTGGATCCACGTACAGTACATTGCGGTTGGGTGGCCACATGGCCGATGGCTTGCGGAATTCAAGTCGCAAAGATGATGTACTACCATGAAGCGGAAGTTAAATCGTGCGCGAGACTTTCAGTCAACCCTACCTGGAGGCATGTCTCACACAGTGGCCCTTCTGCAATGGCGAGTAGGTCGAGTCGCTGCTAACTGAATTACTGAATTGGACCTCACCAACAGATCGGCGTGCGCTGCAAGATGTGGCAACTCTCAACAATTGTTCCATGACGTCGCCTGGTTTCGAACTACCCCGGCGGCTGGCATTCAATTGTAGCAATGCTCTTTGACGAAGATTAAGAATCACACAGCCCATCTGACCTAACATCATGCATCCCAACTAATCGGTTGGCGTTGTTGACCAATCACTGGGTCGGCTCGGTGCCCGCGAGTGCGCGGAAAAAGTCTATGCCGAGATTGAGCATCGCGCCCGGGATGAGGGGCACGAAAACTTCGAGCCACCCCATCATGTCGATGAGCGTCTCGGGGTCGTGCGCGCCCGAGAGGGCGCCCATCATCTGGATAACCCCAACGATCGTCTCCGGCGAGGGGGGGAGGAGCGCGCCGCCGGGCACGCGCAAGATCTCGGGCGCGAAGGGCAGCAGGCGCGGCGGGAGGGAGAGCACACCCGTGTACACCGCGGGGGAGTAGGCGGGTGGCGCGTCGTAGGGGGGCGGCGGCGAGGGTGAGTTGGGTGGTGGTGGGGGCAGCGGCGGCGAGCGCGCCCGCAGCGACATGCTGGGCGAGGCGTTGGTAGGGAGAAGACATGGATGCATCGAGCCAGCCACGGCGCTTTTGTAGCATGCATCGAGTCGGGGCGGTTGTTTACTGACGTTGAAGATGCATTCTACGGTCGCCCTGGCAGCTGTATTGATGGTGGCCCGCGACTGCGCACCCACTGAGTTGATTTTTGTAGAGTGACACAACGACCCGCCACCTCTACTCCAATTCAATTGTCCAACGTCAGTACTCATGGATTCTCCTCGCCGGAAGGACAGAGCATCATTGGAGGGTATCCAATGCATTGAGGCGCCGATGCCGCGTGTGTCGGTGGAATGGCGCTTGGAGTACAGAGTGGTGCGTGCGGGTGGCAACGGAGTGAGGGGGCAGAAACTGCCTGCTTGAGGTGTTTACCAGCCCCTTCACAGGCTTACGTCCAATTCTTTCGTCTGACCACGCCGCTGCTCTCTGAAGGCTGCGCGCCAAACTAATGTCCTGTCCCACTCCTGCCACGCATCTGAATGGTCATTATCGCGTACACTATACTACAATTGCACATGGTGTCAACACTAGACAGACAATATCGCGTTACAATGTCGGGGGAGCGAGTTACGAAGTGGCGCAGATGGCCGTGAGCGGGCGGTGCGCTGCCGCCCCTGCACCGTCGCTCGCCCCGTCGCTGGCATCGTCCTTGTCCGTGAGACTCAGCTGTGCAAGGCTGGCCTCGACGTTGAGCGGGTCAGCCGGCTTGCTCCACATCACCTCCCCTGGCCGCCCCATCCACGAGTAGCGGCGCATGTTCGCGAGTGAAAGTGTAGCGTTGGCTTCAATGTGCACGCCGCGGGCGCCTATGGCTTGCAGGATGCGCGCGATGTTCGTTGCGTCCTACTCTGTCAGTACTGCTGGAGTTGCCAGGGTGAAGAACTTACGTCGATGCCCGAGTGCTGCCGACCTTCAAAAGCGCTCAGTCCAAGTGCGGTAAGCTGGTCCGCGATGGTGAGAGGCGGCTGGGCCGGACCCCGGGGCCGGCTACGGCGCCCGGTTGTGATGCGTGATGGGTTTGGGAGGTAGAGACCATGGCGCCGCTGCTCCTCTGCGCGTACTGTCCGCACTGCTTCCTTAATGTTCAAGTAGCGTCCGAGGAAATACTTTGGGTAGCGTGGAGGGTTAGTTGGCGTGATGTGGAGCTGCTTTGGCACAAAGTCCCTGTATGTGTGAGCGAGGTCGAGATTGCTAGCGACGAGCCAACTCACTGCAGATCCCATGGGCCGTCCGTCACCCACATGGCGTTCTTGAGTTCGTCATTTTCCAGCAGACCCCATCTACTCAGCCAGCCCTCCAGACGCAGCAGGACCTCGGGGAAGGTTTCTGACGCATCGACAGTGCTCTGCTGGATGCCCGTAAGGTTGGTGCAAAAGTTAGACAGCATCGGACGCCATGTCGGCCGCACATAGGCGTGGAAGGTGTCGATGTGGGCGATGCGTGCATTCGTGGCGCGCCTGCGGCCGTCCGTCCCTTCCCCCCACTCGCACGTCCAGCTCATGAGGACAACGGGGAACTCAATAATCTCGTTCGGGTAGTCGAACTGGCCGCGCCCGGCCATACACGTCGCCTCGACATCGAAGCAGAGGTACCAAGTGTGTGGCTGCTCGACGCCGCGAAGCGCACCGGCCTGGGCGAGAGCGGCGGCGCGTTCAGCGCGAGCAGCGGCGTTGATGACCTCGTCATCTCGATCGCGCTGTTCGACGAATGCCCTCATCAAGCGCCTTGGGTCAGTCTATCCTCATGATTGTCGACTGCACACTACAAACTTACTTGTACACCGACTCCCTGGTGCCCTTTGGATCCATCCCCAGGCTGATGAGCGTTGCGCGCATCTCGTCGAGTGTATGCTTCCTGCTGGGCCTCGGGACGCGGCCGAGAGGCGCCCCCGAGACCGCGGACCCGGATCCAGCTTTAGCTCCCCCGCCGTTCCCGGCAAGCTGGGAGCAGAACGACGGGGCGGAGGGCGAGAGAGGGGGAGAAGTAGGGTGGAAGGAAGGCGCAGCGGGGGACAGGGGAGGGGTGGACGCGCGCGTGGGTGTCGTGGGGCGGAAAGCGGGGGCCGCAGCAGACAGGCGAGGTGACGCGCTGGGGTGACTAGCCGTCGACACGGACGACACGGGCGAAGGCGGGTGCGCGTTGTGGAGGGGACCACCTGGGTTGGGCGGGCGGACGCCTTGGTTGGGAGACATGATTGCCTGGAGAGAAGGGAGGCAAGATGCAAGAGATGTGTTTGGATATGGTGGATGGATAGATGGGAGAGAGGTTTGTGAATGTAGAAATGAAGAAAAGAGAGATGAAGAGAAAGAGGATGGAAGATTAAAGAGAGTCGGGGAGAGAGAGAAGAGACGAGTTTGAGTTGGCAGGAGTGTTATGACGAGGTTGGCATGTTTCAATACCAACAACCAACCCGTTAACCCGTACATCCATTCTTTCACCCAGGCACAGCCTCCTCCCACATTCATACTGGACGCTCCGACTCAATTCAACGAGGTGATACCTCAACAGCTACTGTTCAGTGGCCCGCGGGAGACTCGCAGCTCACAGCTGTTACATCCCCCTCTTGTTCAACTCGCCACTCCCATGACCCCAGCCTGATCTTTTCCATAACCCGCTCGGACCTCCAGCTCCCCTGTCTGAGAACAGACTCGGACGAAACACCCCCGTGCCCGTATGCTCGTCTAGTGCATCACCACTCAACAGCAAGCCATCTCCTCGTCACCGTCTCGTCAACCCCTTGTCAAAGAAACGTCAGCGGCAAACAACGACGAACTCCTTGATCCGATCTGTCTTTTGAATCTCCGCTGTCCGTCCTGTCAGTTCCATCTCTTCCAGCACAGCCACACCCACACGTTCACCAACTGACAACATCGCCTCCCCTTTACCGTAAAAGAGTACATTTCGCCAGCATGCAGAGCGCTCACCTTGCCCCCCACAGCGTGGTGGACACAAGATACCGCCTCGGTAGCTAACAGGCGAATCGCCAGCCGCAGCCCAGGCGACTGGACAACGCCCGGTATTACAGGTCGTCACAGCGTCCCCTCCTCACTAGACTCTCTCTACTCGTCTCACCACCAATACGGCTCAGCTATCAGCTGCCGATGGGTGCAGCACATCGCGGCACAGCAGCGTTTAGCAGCACTTGCCGTTGTTCTGCTTGCCACCGTCGCCCTCCGAGGGAGAGACAATGATGGTCTCGCCGCCAGAAGGCTTGATGACGTCGCCTGAGGACTCGAGCGACTTGGACGAGACAATGCGGTAGATGTCTAATGTCAGCTTACTTGAGGTGGGACCAAGCTCACCCGTCAGGATGTTCTGGAAGGCGGCCTCGACGTTGGACGCATCCAATGCCGAGGTCTCGATGAAAGAAAGACCCTGCTCGGCTGCATGTTAGCGCAACTCGCTGATTTGGGCGCACTGGCAAAGGCCTTGGCCTCGTCGGTGGAGACGGCGCGGAGGTGCTTAAGATCGCTCTTGTTGCCGACGAGCATGATGACAATGTTGGTGTCGGCGTGGTCCCGGAGCTCCTTGAGCCAGCGGGTCACATTCTCGTACGTTGAGTGCTTGGCAATGTCGTAAACAAGCAGAGCGCCAACCGCTCCGCGGTAGTAAGCCGAGGTGATGGCGCGGTAGCGTTCCTGGCCGGCTGAAGTTAGCCTGGGACTTGGTCGCTAGCAACGCGATATGACGAGGAAGGCAGGGGCGGCGGAGCGAGCCTCGATCAATAACACCCCAGCGGCCCAGCGTAGTGACGATGTGCGCCCAACACCTGCCTGAATGACGCACCGGTGTCCCAGATCTGCGCCTTGACGGTCTTGCCGTCAACGTTGATGCTCCTGGTCGCGAACTCGACGCCGATAGTGGACTTGGACTCCAAGTTGAACTCGTTACGGGTGAAACGCGAAAGAACTGGAATCAGCACTTGTGCTCTTGTGCGCGCGCAGCTGCGCGGCATGGGTCCCGCATGCGCAACGACACGTCGGCGGGGTGAAAACTCACGGTTACTGTATATGAGCACGAGGCGCAGTCAGCACGCGTGCACGTCGAGGCCGTGCCAGCCCTTCCCTCAAGCGCCAGCGCTCGTGCTAAGGGCGATTGCGATGGCGACGCCGTTCATGAGAAGGCGCTCGGAGTCGGGCTGGTCTGCATCACTGGAGTCATACACTCACGACTTGCCGACACCCGAGTCACCGATCAAGACGACCTGATGTGAGCGCACGAGCGATGGGCCGAGGAGGGGAGGGGGGAGGGAGGAGGGTGAAGGGGGAAGTGGGAGGCGATGGGACGCGCAGGAGAGAGGGAGGATGGAAGGTAGCGCGGTGCGTACGTACCTTGAAGAGGTAGTCGTAGTTTGAGCTCTCTGCCATTGTTGATGAAGAGGAGTGAGGAGGAGATGGAGGAAGTGTGAAGACGAGTGAGTGAGTGACGGAATTGAATGAGGAGGAGCAGAGGAGGAAGGACGGGTGGATGGGACGGGATGAAACCTGGCTGCTGGTGGCGTGGCGTGTCCAGGGCGGGCTCTCTCTCCTCAGTACGGTGCTACGGTGGAGCCCGCTCTATTATGGGTGGCGGCAACTTGAGTCGCAGTATCAGAATGCATTACAATTAGTTAAAGAGTTCTCTAAGTAGAGAAAAAGGCGCGTTGTGACGAATCTGAATCATGGACTCGAGCATGCAATGAGCTTAAGCTGTAAACACAATGGTGTGGTCGCCATCAGTTGACGGTTGCCGACGAGTTGATGGCGGAGGAGAAAGTCGCGTTGGAGGTCATCAGCTGCGCTGAGCTGGTGGATCGCGTCCTTCCCTGAATTCACCGCGTGCACATTTGTTATAATGCATTAAGTATTGATTGAAATGCACTGAGATGCAGTTAGTGGATGTGCTTCCGTCCCGCATTCGAGGACACAGGGTCTGGGACATGGCATTGCATTGTTGCCCCCGCGCCTCCTCTTGCGATCCTCCTCATGATCTCCGCCCCTGCTGCGCCTCCCTCATTTCATCCACGTATTACAGTTTGTTTGATTGAGATATTGTAATGCTCATTCAATTTACATATCACGCTCACTTATTACCCACCACCCTGCACCCTGGAGAAATCGGCGCTTCCCACGTGGTCAAGGTGTGGCAAGTTGCTGTTGGTCTCGAGACGTTATGGCATTTGGCAGAGGTGGAGATGTTACAAGCAGATGCGGGGCTACAAAGGCCTAGACGCTGGGAGCAGCGAGGGGGTCCGGGCTCGTATAATGAGACTTCACTTATGATCGTTGTGAATGAGCGATACTCATTACCTTTCCATCCCTCTTCCCTCTACTCCCCTTTCCCCTCGCACTCGACCCGACCGTGGGAGTCTAACCCTAATGCATCTCGTACTATACATGAATCGCCTACGCAAACACCTTGTCTACAGCGAGCTCGTCCTCCCCAACATCGGCCCGGATACGCTTGACACGGTCCTCGCGCTCGTCCTCGACCGCCTTGCGCGCGCGGTACTTCTGCCCAGCCTCGCGCTTGATGCTCGCACGCGTCGCTGCTGGCGTCACAAACTCCTGGTTTGCAAACACGGTCGGCCCACCAAACGAACCCTCGAAGATGCGGATAGGGGTGAGCACGAAACGAGGGCCAATCTCGACCAGCGACGTCTGGGGAGGGCCCGAAGGGTGCAGGGGGTCCTTCTCGATAATCTGGTAGTTGCGGAACCAGATGCGGTTGTCGAGGATGCTGAAGACGAGAATGTGGTCGATGAAGGGCTTGAGCCGGCGCGAGGTCCGGGGTACGGAGAAGATCTGGTGTAAGCGTTGTCTGATTTCAAGGCAAAGACGGCACTCAGAAACCATTGCCGGACAGGCCATTCAGCGCCTTGTCCCAAGCCCGAGCTCCAGCCTATACAGCTACACCGTCCTTTGACACCGCTGCCCACTCACATGAGAGAACAGCTCCTTCATGAGCTTCCACTCCTCCTTAGTGTCCCATTCGCCGTCAAACACGCAAATTCCACGGCTGCCCTTGAGGCAGTTACCCGTCATCTTGAGCTCGTCCATCGTGTGAATGTTCTGCACGTGGCACTTGACAGACGGCCCGTTGGGTGTCCGCGACGCCCACATGTAGAGGTCTTCGTGCCTGCGCGCCTCGAAGTAGAGGGCATTTGAGCATGAGTGAAGGTCGGCGAGCTCGTTAAGGAGGTGAAGAGACGACTTGGAGTCCAGCTTGGAGTCTGAGAAGGTGAGTAAACATAAAGTGGGCATGAGCCAGGCGACGAGGAAGGTGAGAACGGAGTGCGCATGAGGCAGACGATGAGATAGATGGATGAGGTGAAAGTGATGGCAATGAAGCGAAGCGATCCGTGATATAGGCAGGACGCGCGTCAGCACTAAGCCAACACATGTGTACACCACAACTCACCCTTCTTCGTGTGCGGGAGGAGCGCCTCGAGGTCGGCCATGAGATGGCGCATGCGCTGCGTCACTCCGCGCGACGAGAGGAGGAGGACCTTGTCCTTGCGCTTCTTCTCGACGACACCAGCCTTCTCGTCGGCAGCGGCACGCTTCTTGCCCTTGCTCTTCTTCTGGAGCGACTCGGTCGCCTTGAACACGGACGCCATGGTGTAGATGGGGTGAGTGTGGAGGTGGGAATCGATGACTTGTTGTGACGCCGGTATGGCGGTTCAGAAATTCTGGTAGGGAGTGGAGGTGCCCATGGCGGAAGCAGATACTCACGTGGGAAGGGCATGGCATAGTAGAGTGGGGCAGCGATGAGAGATGAAAAGTCGGACAAGGAGCATGTTCTCCGCGTCATTCTGGGCCTGGGCCTTCTCGCAGATTGTAGATCTTTGCCTTTACCGATCGCATCGGAGACGGCTTCGGACACGCGGACAACCCAGACTAACACCCATGCATCCGTCGCGATCCTTCGGCGCTGGACCGAACCTGATGCCGTCTCATTTGCGGTCATGCCGGCGGAGCTAACCTGCAAGCGAGCTCGTCTGGCGGCCGGCGACGTGGCTCAGCAGCTCACGCATCAACTTAGGCGAGCCGTCGACCTCGGCCTCTTGAAAATGCACGGCTTATTGGTCGCTGATCTCACTGAGCGCTAGCCGAGGCCGGCCTCTCACTTCGCCTGTTTCCATGACTCTGGTTCACCTCTCGCCCGATTATTCCCACCACTACATCGGTATCCTATCTCTCCTGGTCCTGGCCATGATCCTGCCCAGCCCAGCCTCGCCTCACCTCGGCGGCGTATAATGCCTGGCCCGAGGGTGCGGCTCATGTGCCCATGTGATAATCGCTGATCACACCGACCGGGGTCTTGGTGCGGCATCACGGCCCGCAGCCCAATCACCCTCCAGGATATACGCGTGCGCCGGGTCCTGGTCCCTTTTATGCGGGCGGGTGCGTGTGCTCAGCGACCAATGGGGCAGAGACGACGTAGACGAGCGCGAGGAGCGTGAGGAGCGCGTGGCGGGCATGGAAGGCAAGAAGCGCGTGCAGAGAGAGTGGGAACAAACGGGGCCAAGGTTTACCCAGGGGCTGGAGCGGGCGTAGAGTGGCACAAGAGGTGCGGGGATGTGGGGCGCCCATTTCGCCCTCCACTTTCCGGCTAAGTCTAATCTTTCGTGGCACCCACCCAGCATAAGCCGCACCACAAAGCCGAGCTTGCAGTCACCTGCACAACCCGCTCAACCATACTTATGTCAAAGCCCCACAGCTCCCGCGTCTCTCTCCCTCTCTTTCTTGTGCAAAAAATCCGCCCCTAACTCATACACCTTGACATGTCTGGCAAGAACGACGCCCAGGCCCAGGCAGCCGGCCGCCTCCAGCACATCGGCAGCCAGCTCGATGGCGAGAACACTTTCTTCAACCCCAACCGCCTCAAGTATGCGGCCTCCTTGCCCAAGGGCCGCCCCGTCAACAACACCCCCCTCAACCCCCTCACTTTCCTCCTCCGCTCGGCCTATATCCGCCCCCAGCGCATCGCCATGAAGCACCCCGCAATCGGCGTCGAATGGACCTACTCGGAGTGGTGAGTGTCGAATCCACGGACGCGAGATCGGCATATATCGGCCCAAATGTTGATCCGGGCGCCGAGATGGCGCACTGGACATCATTCCCATCCATCGCTCGCCCGCTCAGGCCTTGTGATTGTCTGCCGTTTGCATAGAAATGTCGCAGAAGCATACGGCGGCAAGGTCACGCGACGTGTATCCCGCTCTTGGCGATGCTCGGCGGCGCGCTGCAGCAGCTCCCAGACAACCTTTTTTGTCTTTGCTTGGCCTGGAGCGGAACAATGCCTCCCCGAAATTCCCGCTAACAATCCCAGGGCGATGCGCGTGTGCGCGCTCGCCTACGGTCTCAAGAAGCGCGGCATCAAGCCTGGAGAGCGCGTCGCCGTCATCTGCCCTAACGTGCCGATGATTCTCGACCTTATCCAGGCCGTGCCGGCGGTGCACGGCGTGATTGTCCCGATGAACATCCGCCTGACCAAGGCCGAGGTCAACTACATCCTAGAGCACTCTGGCGCCGTCATGGTGGTTGCCGACCACGAGTTTGCGCACCTCGCCGCCGACTTCAAGGGCCCCGTGATTGTGTCCAAGGACTCGGGCGGCCGCGACCCCACGTGCCAGTACGAGCAGCTGATCGAGGAGGGGCGGCACGAGGCCGACACCATCGGGTGGCAGGGCCACACACTCATCGAGGACGAGGAGTCAAACTACGCCATCTGCTACACGTCCGGCACGACCGGCCGCCCCAAGGGCGTCGTCACCACCTACCGCGGCACGTACCTCGCCGCGCTCTCCAACGCCATGGAGTCGCGCATGTTCACCGAGTCGACCTACCTGTGGATCCTGCCCGCCTTCCACGCCATGGGCTGGACCTTCCCGTTCGCTGTCACCGCCGCATCCTCGGGCCAAGTATGCTTGCGCTCCGTTGGCGACTACTCGCCCATCTGGGAGTCGTTCAGCCGCGACAAGATCACGCACTACTGCGCTGCCCCCACTGTCCAGATCGGCATCTGCAACCACCCGCAGGCGCACAAGATCACGCACGACATCCGCACCCTCGTTGCCGGCGCCGCGCCCTCCGCTTTCCTCATCAACACGCTCGAGAAGAAGCTCGGCATCCAGGTCATCCACGTGTACGGCCTGACCGAGACGTACGGCCCCATGACCAACTGCATCCAGCACCCCGAGTGGGCGGTTGAGCTGCACGAGGAGGAGTTCTACCGCCGCAAGGCGATGCAGGGGCACGCCTTTGTCGGCGCCGACGAGGCGCGTGTCATCCGCCCCGAGTCGGACCCCTCCAAGGGGTACGAGGACGTCACCCCGAACGGCAAGGAGGTCGGTGAGATTGTCATGCGCGGCAACATCGTCATGAAGGAGTACTGGAACAACCCGGAGGCGACCGCGGAGGCGTTCGAGGGCGGCTGGTTCCACTCTGGTGACCTCGCCGTGCGCATGCCCTACGGCATGATCTCGATCCAGGACCGCTCCAAGGACATCATCATCTCTGGCGGCGAGAACGCATCTTCCCTTTCCATCGAGAGCGCCATCTACCAGCACCCCGACGTGCTCGAGTGCGCGGTGGTTGCTCGCCCGCACGAGAAGTTCGGCGAGCGCGCACACGCGTTCATCATCCTCCGCCCTCACGCAGAGCCCAAGTGGGCCGGCAAGGAGGACGAGTTCCACGTCGAGCTCAAGACCTTTGTCAAGCCCCTCCTCCCCGGCTTTGCCCGCCCCGAGTGGGTCGAGGTCGTCCCAGAGCTCCCCAAGACGTCGACCGGCAAAATCCAGAAGCACGAGCTCCGCAAGCGCTTCAAGAGCATCATCCCGGGCCAATAGGCCAAGTGTAGTGTATTAGGTTAGGCGGGTAGCCGTGTAGGACGATCAAAGAGTCAGTAGCCATATGCATCGCAGTTACGAACACGCACGAACACGGTGCACAGAGAGGTGCGTGTATATCAAGTGTATCAAACGGAGCAACGCAATCTTTCAGGAGGAGCCTGTAGATAATGAAGCCTGTAGATAAGGAAGCCTGACATGACAATCCGTTGCGCTGCCGAGCATGATCCGTGGCAGACACTACCAATTCGACAGATGCAGCATGCCCATCGAGCCTGGCTGTCACCCTCAATAAGCATAGTCACATTCCGTCCTTATCGTCTACACCGTACAACATACACAACCACGCCGCTTAACACGCGTACCGGAAATGCTTGTTCTCGCGGTCTGTGAGGTCGAGCTCGCCGGCGAGGCGGCTCTCAAGCGCTTGCGTCTCAGCGCTGATTCCCGACGCGAGGGCCTCGGCGTCGCGGCGTGCATTGGTGCGAGCGTAGTACCACCACCAGCAACCGAGGTTGAGCGCGTTGAGGCACATGACGGCGCCGCAAGAGATCAGGCCCTTGAGGTACTTGGGCGCATCTGAGGGCACGAAGATCTGCGTGCCGACGACGTTGCCGATGCAGTACCTGGCGTCAGCTTTCTTCCCCGCGGGTTGCAGACCGAGTCCCACCATATCAGCGCGCTAGCGCTCATGAACGTCTTCTTGGTCCGCCCGGCGATGTTCACACTCATAAGCGGCCAGACCATGAACGTGCTGATCGCGAATACGCCGTAGAATGTGAATGCCGCCCAGCGGTTCCACTTCTTCGCGGGATCCTCAAGGCCGACGTAAAGAAACACGGCACACGGGACGATCTGGCAGACAATGGCGATAGGGAAGCGCGCCCGGGGGACATAGTAGACGGTCGTCGCAGCCGTGATGATCAGCGTGCATGCGACCGCGCTGTTTGGCATCCCGTACAGGATGACCTCGAGGTTCGTGAACCCCATGCTCTTGTAGATGAGGTTATTGAAGGCGCCGAGGCCGCCGTTGGGGATGCACGACAGGAGGTTATAGATGGACGCAAACCTGGGGTCAGCTGGCCCCAAGAGGATTCGCACCAGTACTGCGGGTCGCGGAGACATTCCTTGACTTGCGCCCACTTCCACGCGTGCTGCTCGCCACCGCCCGTGGCGTTCTCAACGATGCGGGCTTTGGCCATGAGCTTCTCGCGCTTGGAAAGCCACCAGACTTCGTCGGGCGTGCCAACTACGAAGAGAAAGATGATGCCGATGGCCACGGTCAGTCCGCCAAGGAAGAGATTGATGATCCTCCACGCGGCCATACCCCCATTCCTCTGTGCACTGTCCGCAATACCGTAGATCGCGATGCCAAAAACGATGGAGAAGAATGCGTCTGAGGTCAGCCTTCAAGTGCAGAAAAGGTTGGGTGGATGTGAAAGTCGTGTGTAAGCACTCACTCATCGCATAGTAGCACGCCTGGCGCAACGTCTGCTCGCGGCGCAGATACCACGACGAGGTAAGCACGGCGAATCCCGGCGTGACGACGCTCTCGAACCAGCCGAGAAGCACGCGTACAACGCTCAGGTCCCAGTAGTGATTGCACGCGCCGAGAAGCATGACCATTGCGCCCCAAATGATGATCGACACACTGAGGGCGCGGCCGAGGGGGAAGCGCTGCATGAGGAAGCCCATGGGGATTTGAGCCACGCCATAAGACATGCTGATGTGAGCGAAATCGGCGCAGACGACAGCGAGAGCACCTACTAGAAGAACGAGTTGAGGTTGTTGTACTGCTGCGTCGTGAGGCGCGTGTCCTCCTTCAGCCCAAAAATGACGCCGGAGGACAGCGACGTCTTGTCGCTGTACTGGAGGCCGTATGCGATCATGAGGAGGGGGATGAGGACGCTGGAGTCAGTGACGCACGGTGAAGGCGCAACAGGGGGACATACAAGTCAAACTTGCGCCGGAGGCGCTTGTACTCTGCTTCGCTGGCATCAGCCACAATGAATGGAGGGGACCCACGTGAACTCTGTCTCGGCGGCAATGACCTCTTCGTACTCGTCGAGCTTGGCGAGTTCGCCGTCTGCGACGGTGACCGAGATGGACCCGAGCTTTTCGGACGCGCGGCTGTCCCTGCGCTCGATGCGGGCGGCGAGCGAGTCGTGTCGGGGTACGGGCATAATCTGTGTGATGAGGTGGGCGACGTGGGCGTCGGCCGGACGTGAATGAATCGTGCTTTAAGACTGACTCTCACCAGTACGCTACATGGTGGGCAACGGGTCAGCAGGTCAGTATAGGTGGGGGATAAAAGCGGGAGCGAAGAGCTGCGAGCTGCGCGCTAATGTAGGTGGGGGACACAGCCGTTGTGGAGAGTGAGCAGAGATGACAAAGTAGCCTCGGCGTTCATGGCACTCAGCACGGCCCGGCGGCTGGCGGACATGTGATACCCGGGATGAGTGCCTATAAACTGGAAAGAATGAATGTCTGGAATGGATGGTATGTATGCGCGCAGAACGTCGGTCGTCCTCTAGACTGGTTTCAGTGTCAGGTCGCACGTTCACAGGCTTTCAACAGCAATGAACATTCAGGAAGGCGATGGTGATGCGCGAAGAACATTCAGGCGGTGGGCAAGGCAATCTGTCGGCTGACTTCCACCAGATTAATTGCACCCCACTTGCGGCAGTGATACAGTGACTGCCGATCTGCCGAGGCTGTTCTCTCAACTGGGTGTTGACGCAGATTCGTGATCGACAACGGCAATCTCCCAAAACTAGTACTTCCGACCACTCGTGTTTTTACTAGAGCCCACCTGTACACGCCTAGTATAGTAGGCACGCTTTCCTATTCAGACGCCTATTCGTGATACATACGAGCCTAATGCAAGGAGACGCCGCGCCGTCTATGGTGGCTTGAACGCCCATTTCCACGACGCCGACGACGGAACATGCATGGAGCCCTTCAGACACTGTAGCCACAGCCTGTGGCTATCAGTAGATATCAGATACATGCATGTAGATGTCGATACAGGATAGATATTGATTTCAGAATGACGTCTACAAGG